AGAAGCCATGACATCCAGTGCACGTGTCAGTACTTTGCAGCCGTGCACATTAGTCATTACATGTATGCCGCTACATGTATGCGGTGATGACCAGCCCATGCTGGAGGCAAGAGAATGTATTGTATTGTGGTGAAAAAAGGAGGACAAAATGTTACGAGTTATTGGTTGTTGGTTTGCGCCTTGGAGAAGTGTTGGAGCTAGGTGTCAGGTAGCCGAATGTCTCAGTGTACCGTGTTTTACTACTCCCTGGTTGTAATGTTCGATATGGAGCTGTAAAGACTATCATAACTGTACCGGTTCTATTCAGTGCATACGACTGTAAACGTTTCACAACACAGTCACTACTAGTAACTTAGACTAAGTTAGAGAGTGTAACCGTTAAACGAGGCAACTTAACTTGCATACAACTAACAAAAAGACATACCGCTTTATGACTTACAGTGTACATGTACATGTACATAATTGCCGTTCCAGCTGTGCATCGTAGATGTGTGTCACGGGGGGAATTAGACAGAGTATTCAGCACGTGTAAGGAAGGGTTATGACTGTCCCGCACAGTTTGAGGACTATGCACCATTGGTGTGCGTAGCAGTAAGACATTTTAATTACGATTGAGCGGGCTCTAAACTCTGATAAGGCCCTTGGCGGGAATGTCGTTGATTGGTCTAGTAGTTGTAGGAGGCTGGGAATTTAATGAACGGGAAAGTAACAGTTAGTTGGCGAACCAACACGACACTGGTACTGTACAGGTATGAGTGAAAGGATACGACTGAGGCAGTGAGGGCTAGGGGTGGTGGCATGGAGGCGGTATCACGGTTCTACACACAGTCAGTCACGGCCATATCATACTACATGTAGTACTAGCCCTGACAGCTATTCCTCCTTCCAGACAATCCAGTCTCAGACCCTAACCACCGTGCATGTTCACACGACACGACATGTGCTGATTCGCAACATTAGGCTACCTTACGCTTCGACGACAATTCAACACACGTCCATGGATCCAGGACACAGCTGCGAAGGACCCGGGCCTGGTGTAGATCCATCTCACCACCGTCTTGGTCATGGCAAAAACTGAGTTCTGCCCAGTGTCTGCCCATATTCACTGATTTGAAAACAAGTGCTAGACTGCTGAAGGAACACTCTGATATGACAGGACGAATAGGCTAGCCATAAATATTTATTGATGTTACTGTACGATCGTTAGAGGAGGGTTAGACCGCATGATGGAAACACTAATGACCCGATCTCGGGCTGGCCAAACAAAAGAGCGCAGCACACACATCCCCTACACTATACTATTACTATAGACTAGTGTAAGGTTCAGTGGTCAGAGAGTGCAAGCTGAGCAATGACATTATGTGTCTTCTCGTTTGTTCGCTGTCGGCATGTCAGACAAACGAACACAAGGTGTGGCTACGTACATGTGCATCTGTTTCTGTAAATAATATTTGTGATGAAATGTGTACACGTCCACGCTGAGAATCGAGTCTAGCACACCATCGACAGGCAGAACAACGGGTATTATCAACATAACACAAATTCATGACACCCACAAGCCAGCTTTGGACGTTAACAAATGAACTGCCATGAACGTCTTTAGCAACCGTTATTAGTTTCGGCCACTATGCTTGTTGTAGTGGTCTGCAGTGTTGCCATCTCTACACGCACTCATAGCCACAAGCAATGCCGTCTAGGCTTGCATCGAATGTCTACACAGTCATAACAATTTGTACCATGACACAAAGCGTGCACTAGCTGCCACCTCTTCTGCATGTACCTGATTCCAAGTCTTGATGGCGGATGGACCATGCCTTGCAACGTAATTAATACACACTGTAGTTAATTGTACATCTTGCTGCTTGCTTCAAGTAAGTATGATACAGTACATTCATTGTACATGTACGAGTCGTACATAAACCGTTTATGTACTGTTGATCGTGGTGTATTGGTGGTTACACGTCCATGCGAAGCTCACCGTCAGATTGCCCTTGGGTTATTATTCGTCCGCAGCAGTTTATTCTGGTGCAGCATGCAGGTGAGCGAACGCTCGTCGGCGCCCTTCAAAACTTCATCATCGGTCGATAATGAGGCGGTGAATGGCGACCTGTTTCGTTGCAATCTGCGCAAACTCTAAACATTCAGACGAGAGCGTTGACGGTGTGGCCAGGCTGTACTGTCGGTGAACACTAACGAGATAGCGCAAGTACTCACATACACTCACTGCATAAGAAGTAAAGGCAGTGCTCAGTGCCACTATATATGTACTAGCCGCGGGATATGTGGTCCCCGGATGAGATTAGACTCTGTGACACATCCCACCACAACATCATAGCTTAGGCAACGTCTGTGATAGTGCTGCGCCTTAGTGTCATGGACTCTGCATCTGGTAGTACGTATACATTACTAGTAGTAGTAGTAGTAGTCATAGGCTCATAGCTAGCTACATGATTATACACTGTAGAAGTGTAGCATACCGCGATTGCTGTGGTCTCTGTCCTTCTAAAGTGAAAGTAAAACGGAAAGAAGTTTGTACTGCTCACACTCACACATATAGCCTGCGGAAAAGTTCCTACGCGATCCTTTCGGAAGGTGTTTCAACTTTCAAGCCGGCTGTTCGACGGATGAGGCAGTTTCTCCTTTTCCCTCAACTCCCTGTATAATGATATCGCGCAGTTGTAATGCAGTTGCGGATAAGGACGGTGATGGCCTGCACTTTGCAGACGTTCAGTGACTGTAAGCGTGAGCTGTTGCCAGCCAGGGTATAGCAACCATCCGCTGGCTGATGTTTCAGGGCATCATGAGAATTGACATCGCGCTGCGCCCGTTAGGGAAGTGTGCCGACGTCTAATTGGACGTCGCTGCATGCCATCGTCGCCGCTGATAATCGCTTGCTGTTGCTATTGGCTAGGGTGTTTGGCCATAGTCGTCGTTTCAGTTAGTATTGTTTCAGAAGATCGTCAGCAGCAATGCACGCAGAGAGCGCGGTTTCGCAGCTGTGTAGTTGGGCGGTGAACTTAGTGACTTGGTCAACTTTGCGAAACATTACAAAGCGGAGACAAGGACTCCTGTTGTCACCTACATGTACAACATGTTGTTACACTTTAGCCGACACCAGTTTTCTAATCTAGGCAACACCTGAACACGCGACATTGATCTTTGCGTGAGCGAAGTTGCACATTCTCGCGAAGCAAGTGGCGTGCAGCTGCTGGGCCATTACATGTACACCTCTACACGACACTTCTTGTAGTGACTTAGTTCACACTAGAAAAACTTTAATAGTACTCGCATGCTTTTCGGCGGTGTGGCCTTGCATTTGAAGTGCTGCATGGCGCTGTTCCTTTGGCCCATGTTGCCAGCCCTATCTGGGCCACACGCATGGCGCGCCTGTCCACAATGGGCCCTGTTTCCTACCGGCAGACATGGCTCGTTGGACGGACGAAGCCTGAGCGTCACTTCTCACTTTCTTTGCCAGCACTGTCGTACCAGGCGGAAAGTGATCAAGGTCCTAGTGATTTGGAGACTCGTCCGACTGACAGCTTGAATATACGTCCAGTCTCTTCACTGGGCTAATAATAATTCCTTATACACCTCTGCATGCACTGAATACACTGCAGCAATGCAGTGTCAGTAGCATACCTGCACAGGTTGCAATGTCATAGAAGGAATGTATCTGCTTCACGTAACCATAATAATACGAGCAGCGCTGTCGAAGTACGTGGAGGCCTCCATGTCAGCGGCGGCGCTACCGCTCTCTTCCGTCGTCTCCCTGGCAGCCCTGGGCGTCATCGACCAAGAGCGCTGTCGTGACTGCGTGCGTGCACGTGCAAGCACCTCCTCTCCCACTGATCTCTTGCACAAAAAAGAAAAGACAAAAAAGTGGCTACATGCATGCCATATATGTACATCTCATACAGGCAATACGTAATGACTGTGATCCTTCTGATGTGAGGTGTCGTTACCATGGTTACCAGTCACTGCATGCAGTTCTGTTACTGCTATTGCCTCCATTAGTGTAGACCATAGCCTAGGCATTAGGATTGTAGACGCCAGCTACCTGCAGCATGGTCTGTTTGCAGTGTTCATGGGATTGATGGACAGGAATAGCATGTAGGATATAATGCACACATTGGGACATATCGGTATGCGAGTGATCTGAAAAGTTGTGAAAACCACTTTCAATCTGTGCCCCTGTGTGACTGAGAGTGAGATCCACTTACGTTCCCACCGTGACGTCACTGGTTTCGGCATGAAGGCGGTTGCGACTCGGCTGGGGAATGGCGAGCCGACGACGTGAACCCCTAGCCCAGGTACAGTGCCTGTGACACAAGGCTGCAACGGTATCTTCGGCCTACCGCATGCGTTTGTCTGGCATGAATGTGCACGCCAGCCTGAGCGTTTGGGATGCCGAAATGCTGATACCACATCCTTGCCAGTAGTGGGCCAAGCATCCAAGCATAGGCAAGGCTGACCAGGCAGCCACACCACAACCCACAACTGGTGATGCTGCTAGCACTGGCTATCTGATCTCCACTGCTAGCGTCGTAAAGATGTATCTAGGTTGAACGTAAAGATAGTCAAGGCCCATGATGAGGTGCTGAGCGTGCAAGACTCCGCAGCAACGTTGCTGGTTGACATGCGGCGGGATGACCGGCGACGTACTGCCACACAGGTTGGAAACCATCAAGAGTAGCCAGGAGCGAGGTCAACGATAGTCTTCCTCTCCCTAGCGCTAAGGTATCTGCTGCCGGTAATCCCCTCCTTCCGATTCTCTCTACAGACAACTCGGGCCTACTGCAACTGCAACTGCTGCTGCTCAGCCTACAGACCTGCTACTGACCTGCTGCTACTACCGATGCTCATGGGTAGATTCGTATTGAAACCTTGCCGAGGCCGAGGCGGCGGCGGCTGGCTCTCTGGCGAGGGCCGCCGTGCGGTTTAAGTTTCGGTTCTAGAATGGGCGCAGTATAAAGACCTCGAGTAGGTCCACGAGAAGAGAAGAAACAAGTTTGTTCAACGTCAGGTTGAAGCGAGGTAAAAGCCTCTACAAGGTGGTCCAATTGTCTCTTCAAAGCGAGTGTGTAGTTTTTGACGAGGTCAACATATCTGACTGATTTGGTGCATACTCAGGCTCGCCAGAATGATTTCACAAAGCTTCCTTCTCTCTCTTCTGCTGCTGACGGTAAGCGCCCAGAATTTGGGCTACCACCAGGTTCAGGCGCCCCAGCAACAACTGCCGTCTGTCATTGGTGGTGGTTTTCCAGCTGGAAGCCCTCAACCAGCACAAGCTCCAGCTGCCCAGCCCGTGCAACAAACCGCCGCACAACAATCCACGCAGCAACCCACACAGCAACCTTCTCAGAAGCCCGCTGTTCAACAACCCGCCGCCCAACAGCCAGCCGTTCAACTGCCCGTAGTGCAGCCGCCCAGGCCTGTGCAGATAGTTATGCCAGGTATGCCCAACCAGAACCAGGCGTTCGTTGGCATTCCCAATGGGCCTATCAAGAAGTGTTACGGTGTGGACTACAACTCGGCCATTGCCGCGTGCTGCGCTGGGGTAATCACGCCCAGACCAATTGGTGTTCCGGAGAATCTCCTGTCATGCTGTGTAACTACCGCCTACAACAACATGACCCATGGCTGCTGCATGGGACAGGTGTTCGACGCAATGATCGCCCAGTGCTGCGGCGGTCAGATCAACACCAATGGACCCGCCGGCCAGTACCAGTGCTGCGCCGACCAAGCGTACCAGCGTGGTGGTGGCTACCTGTGCTGCCAGGGCAATGTCAAGAATGGCGTGCCAGGTATCGATGGCTGCTGTGGCCATGAGACCTACGAGAAAGCCACCAAGTCCTGCTGCGCCAACCACACCATCTTCGATCCACAGGACGACATGTGCTGCAACGGCATGATGATCGGAGAGCCAGCCACGCAATTCATGTGCTGCGGCATGGACATCATCCCACGCTTCCAGGAGCTCAAGTGCTGCAAAGGCAATGGTGGACGCGCCATGAAGTACGACATCAACTCTGAGAGCTGTTGCAGTGGATTCGTCGTTCCCGGTGCCGAGGCTTCCCACACCTGCTGCGGACGCCAGACACTGCCCCTCTGGGGAACAGCACGCTGCTGCGGTAACCGTCGCTACGACACCTCCACGCACTCGTGCTGCAACAATCGCGTTGCGCCCGGACCGGAAGGCTCATCGATCTGCTGCGGAGAGGGCACGCTGCCGTCGATGGGCTCACTGCGTTGCTGCAGCAGTACAACCCCATACGACCTGAACCAGCAGACATGCTGCGGTGGCGTAGTCAAGCAGGGACTCAGTTGTGTCTAACCGTCTACACTGTAACCACATTCCCCACGCCAGTTACTAGCATTTCGTCTTGTACGACCACGCTACAGCAAAAAGGTCCTTCCACGTCTGTTGACACCAGTGCGTTATAATGTCCGCAACTGTGTCCATCTCGAACTCAAACAGCGGGCAGCACAGTCGTAACGGTTGACATTGACTTCTCCGGCTTCAGTTCAGATGGCCCACAGTCCTGATGTTACTCCTTCTCCCGACTATTTCTCCCATTTCGTTTAGCTTGTGGCCATCTATGGACTATGGATGCCAGCAGGCCCTTATAAAGTATAATATATTATAATACAGCCAAACAGATATCCGAATTCATCCTTTCCTCTAATTCTTCTCTAGGACTCTTCTCTTGTAATTTGTGTGTGTGTGTGGTAGTATGATGTAATGTGCCGTGTATGCACGACTAACCACGGCCACACTGGTACCGTTGTCTTCAGTTTTACCTACATTGTATGAGTCCCTTTTCCTGTACATTATCCATCCAATCTGTATCCTATTTTAATTATTAACGCCCGATCCTCTCTACGTTCTGAAGCAGGAGCGGAACATATTCTTTCGCCTGTATTCTTTAAAACTATAGAAGAAGAGCACCCTGAATCTACACAACTCACTGAAAAGATCCGATTGAATCGCTTGAATACATGCGATCTGTCGCAGGATAGAAGCTAACTGAAGTCTACTGTATGAGATGTCACTGTGACTTTTCTTCTGAGTCACACTACTTTCCGAATAACTACTTCAAGTACTGAGTACATGTATACCGCTAGTTGGGGATTATAGGGCACCTGGCAGGTTGTAACAGGCAGGGCGGTGTAGACTCGCTGTCTCAGGCCCTGATTTTCCCGGGCCTCGCCGTTTCCAGTCAGTGCAATCACGTAAGGGGTAGTACAGCAATCAGCACATGCACCAATCGCACTCTCGCCAGGAACCCCGCCTTATGATGTAGTATTCGGACTGTCGGCATAGGCTACAGGGGAGAACTGAATAGAGCTAGAGGGGTGGTTAACCAAGGCAAGGCTACGTGTACTTGTACATGTGTTAGCGTTGCGTGGTAGTTTACCAGGTATGATTGGCATTCGGATTGATGATGAAAGCAAACATGTATATCATTACAATTTTTGTTTCCCTCCTTCCAACATGTTACATGTTCACTTGTTTGTTTGTTTGTTTTATTTAACAATCCTCCAAAAGCAAATGGATGCTTATCGTAGGGAGTTTTGTGTGGTGAAAAAGGGCGTAAGGATGGGGTTAAAATTGAAGGGAGGGGAGGAATCGAAAATGCCGAAAAATAAATACAAAATACAAATACAAAACAGATCTTAGTGCTGATTCCCTGAACTAGGATGGCTGTAGTACGTGTGGGAGTATTCACAGTCCATGCCATCATAGTCAATACAGTGCAATACAGTACAGTACAATCTCCAGAGGGGGTTGCTTAGCAGCTACATTGTACATGTAGCTGTGTCGACTTTCTTATTATTTTTTTATGTTGTGATATCATGGTTATGTAGCAGAAGGGGGCGAACACACTGCTTTGTAACTATGCACTGACTGATGCAGGAACGCTCCGAATAATAAAAAGGAATAGCCGCGCTCAGGGAATGCACTGGCTAGCCATGGCTCCGGCCTTGCTTCCTGCACAGGGTCTGCCAGCCATGTACCCCAACACTTCCGATACGGCGCCCAGTTGATTGCTCTCTACTTGCCCTCCGCCTCAAAAAGCACGCGGTCTACACGTGCAAAGCGGCATGATTTTCTGAAAATCGAAAATGAGCTGAATATGAATGAACATCTTTTTGCACATAATTGTCTGCAACTACAAATAATTATTTGCAAGCGCCTCCACTACAGTCATACATAGTAATAATCCTGCTGATCTCTGTGTTCATGGTGTTGTTCTTTTGCTGTGAGTAATTCAGTTCAGGTGTTGAGTTTAGCGTGATCACAGCAAAAGGTTGTTGAAGGTAGATTTGGAGCTCTCCATTCAGCACAAATAATTGAAAGTTTTCCTGGTAAAATTCTCTTCCAATACTACTTACTAGCCTAATAATAAGGGATAATGACGAACAACTGAGTTGATGAGATGGCAACTAATCGTGGCAGGAAGAAACGGAAGGCCACTGCGTCTTTCACCTTCCCGATCCCACCATTCGTAAACAAACAAGTAGACTGCGATGAGGACACCTTGCCGCCAGCTCAGTGGCCGAAATATCGTGGATGCCTTGTTGGCACAAGTGTGTGGATTGACAATTGTGCGGAGGGCTCGAGTTTGGACAGTCATGGCAGTTCCAGTGATGTTATTCATCGTTTTGGATGCTTTGGGAAAGGAACGCTGTCGCGGAGCAAACCGGGAGATGTGGACAAGGAGCGCAAGATCCTTGATGTTCGTCGACCAAACGTTAACCTTGTCACAAGGCGACATGAAGCCGAGCTGCAGGCACAGCGAGAACTAGCACGTGATCGAGTATGCCTTGATCTATGTCATGCTGACCCAGAGCAAGTGAATAGTCTGTGTACTGAACAGGCTTTGGAAGGTCGTGTTGAAATCCTTGACCCAACACTGGCTGCGGCTGAGGAGGAAGAACTGGCCAGTTTCCGGGAGCGAGAGCGCTCGCCGGAGATTTCCCACTCAGATACTCTGATCTGGGTGCCTGCGGCTGTTTCCGAGCCGTCGCAAGCCAGCGTGGAACAAGTTTTTGAGTTTGCTCCTGATGATGACTGGGGAGTGACGACAACGACAACTCCATTGAGTACTGCAGACCATCAAGAAGATCTGGCAGACACCATACATGATGAGCCCATGGTGACTGAAAGTAGCGATGAACTGCCCGATGTCAGCCCGATAGGTTTATCTCAGTTTGCGGATGGACGGTCCGTGGTGTCTGAGTGTGCTGAGGAAGCTGAAGCTAGACAGCCAATGCTTGGCTCCACAGCACCAAGCAACAGTGTCAAAGACCCAGATGCATGTGCAGCAGATTTTGGCTTGAGCAAAGCTGAACCAGAAGAGCATGTTTTAATCTCTCAAGATGAGAAAACTGAAGCAGTCACCATTTCCGACCACTATCACTTGCCTTTTAGAGAACGCTTAGTATTGACCGTGGAAGAAGCTTTCTTTCTTCACTTTGCTCTTGGCTGTCTTGATGTGTATGTCATTGATGACGGCAATGGAAAAGAGAGCACTAGTTTCAGCACAAGGGAGCTGTGGCTGACATGTTGCCGAGTGCAGACTGGCTTTCTCTATCGCTACGTAGTGTACCACTACTTCCGTGCTAAGGGCTGGGTGTGCCGGCCTGGTCTCAAGTTTGGTGTTGACTTTCTCTTGTACCGCACTAGCCCGGAGTTCTACCACTCTGAGTACGGGGTGGTGATTTCCAGAGACACTGGAGAAGAACAATCTTCCTCTCCTTCCACCTCAGCGCCGTCATCTCTGAACAGTCCAACGGTCTGCAGTGTTCCTCCAGCATGGCCTCCATCTTGGCTGGATTTGATTCGCGTTGGCCGCGTTGGCGAGGGTGTCATGAAGACTATAATCCTGGCGGTGGTACTTCGGCCTGGACATCTGCCTACAGAAGATGCTGACTGTTTTGACCACCTTCATGAGTTCTCTGTTCAGGTTAGTTCTACTTGTTGCAGTTAGTCATGGCTTTCTATACGACAATGTGTGTGATGCTGATGAACGACTCCTGATTTTCTGTCTGGAATTCTCTATGATGCCACATGCTTGAGGACAGTAAAATGCTTCATAGGTCGAACACATGTCGTCGCGGAACTGTTAGAGGTGAACTTTAGCTCTCTGCGGTGTACTGTTGGCTGTTAGAGGTGAACTTTAGTTCTCTGCGGTGTACTGTTGGCTGTTAGAGGTGAACTTTAGTTCTCTGCGGTGTACTGTTGGCTGTTAGAGGTGAACTTTAGTTCTCTGCGGTGTACTGTTGGCTGTTAGAGGTGAACTTTAGTTCTCTGCGGTGTACTGTTGGCTGTTAGAGGTGAACTTTAGTTCTCTGCGGTGTACTGTTGGCACCTTGTATGGTGGAACAGTTTCTGTCTTTACCCCTTTCAATTCTACCTGTTTTATACGTGGAAGGCACTTAAACGTGCCTTCCACGTATTATAAAAGCAGTGTAGAATGATCTGATACATGCACTGCTGTATGCAAGACATACTGATCCAGGCTTTCAGTGGATGGAACTGTGCGTAATTCAGTATGGCAACTCTGACTCTTCGCACTCAATTTTCCGCACGTAACGGCGGCCGTGATCTAATTCCTGCCAATTGTTGTAAAACCAACTGGGAAGCACAGTGTTCGTGTGTGTGTGGGGGGGGGGGGGGGGGGGGAGCAGATTAACAGTACTTCACAGCAGTACAGTAGTTCATTCGCCTTTATATCATTGGGCCTAGTTCCCATTTATTGTGCGGATTAAAATAAACCAACCAGCCTAGTTATTGAAGCGTGAGGCTTTGTACGTTGTAGCTAGAGTCTGTGTGCGACAACTTGGCCATGGTGTTGTTGAAAGGTGTGTTTGCAGTTCTTGCTGACCATTATGGTGTTCTCTCTCTCTCTCTCTCTCTCTCTCTCTCTCTCTCTCTCTCTCTCTCTCTCTCTCTCTCTTGTGTATGTACAGGAGCTGGTACTGGATCGGTGGGTTCCAAGTCGCACCAGGCAATCATAGAAAGAGGACAGCCGGATGAAGTTCTCCATCTTCAGAGCACCGCAAGCTTGTTTTGTATACAGACTTTGCAATTGAGATCTTTTACTTTTAGAGTTCCTTTTTTAATATGCCAAATTCGAGAAAACGGTTTAGAGATGTGGGCAACGTTATAAATTAGCCAATCATATTTATTCACTTGTTTTTAGGCCCTATGAATAAGCGCCGAGGAGACTAGACCCTGATTTGTGGTATTGCATTACAGTTTGATCATCAACTCTAATGGGGATGCAGAACACAGAATATGGTGTTGAACTGCATGCTTGGCCAGGGTTTCCTGGGATCTCATAATATATTTTTACTTACACACAATGCCATGTCAGTCTTGATATCCGATACTCACTTCATTAGAAGCCCCTCTTGAATACCCCCCCCCCCCCACACACACATACACAACTGTTTGAAAAAAGAGGCCACCATACTGTTAGGGAAATGCTAACCATCTAATTAAAATTTACAGATGAAGTCCATCGGCTAGAATTCTAGAGTTGTCCTGTGATGCAGGAAATTAACCAATCCACTGCTAGAATACTGGTGTTGTAATATTGATATGTCTGAACTCTAAACCCATCCTACAGAAGAAGCAGCGTACCAGAACAGACAGCCCTGATGAGTGTTTGCTGCCGACGTGAAATCAAGATTCCGATTTTCTTTTCTATTTCTTGCACTGTACAGTAGTGTCGGCGTGTCCAAGAACGTTGTGTCCAAGGGGTTAGCCTGGGGCGTTCTTAGTTTTCAGCAATCCGCCTGCGTTCTTATAGCACGTTCTTAGAAACAATCATATGTGGATCATATCTGAATCGTATGTATCCCGAAAGCTGCCGGAAAACCAGCACCCCCGTTCTTAGCTTTAGGCTGTGGCGTTCTTAGCATTTCAGGCTGGACGTTCTTGGGCTCCATGTTTTTCGGCGCACGACTCTACTGTACTTCTCTAGGGCTGTGATCGTTTGGTCAGACCCATAGGATCCACTCGATGTACAGTGATCGATTGGTCGAATCCCGATCCTTCAGATTTGGATCCGAGCAACCCTGCTCCGGGAGCAGGGTTGACCGGATCCAACATGCAGATTCATTTTTTGCCAAACATGACGTTTGTACGTGTTTGGCGGGTAAATGATCATTGTGATATGCATTTTGTACACATACACGTGGAAAAGCGGTGCACCTTGCAGATGCGTACGAACCTGGAGTAACTTTTCGATTATCGTTTTTCTACCTCAACATGGTCACGGTAGCAGTATGTTCCAAATGTGATCGGTTGATTCTGAGGGATCCAGTGGATCGGGGATTTGGATCTTGAACCGGATCCGACGAAATGATCACAGACTCCCCGGCCGAGTCGTGTTTCACTTTTGTTCTGCATTCTGGATGTGTTGCGGCCATCTACAAAAATTCTTCTTCACCCCGTTGCTTTTCCCATTAGGATCCCACCCTTGCAGAATATTGGAATGAAGGTGTGACGATTACATGATTGTACATTTGGACATTGACTATATGCATGTACATATCCGACTGATCAATTATCTGGAATTGGATTGGGAGTGCATGTTATGCATTTATCCCGTGAAATGACATTCGTGTGTTCCCGTGCATGTGTAGTTGTATGTGTGTGTGGGGGGGCAGACAGTGTGTGTGTGTGTGGGGGGGGGGGGGGACAGAACACGATTGTATGCAGTACAGTCAGACCTCGTATAACCGCACACTGCATCCGTTTTCCAGAAAAAATATCCGGATAGGCGAGGGAACCGGAGAATCGAACACACATACTGTATGCATGCATGACATAATTATGTTGTAAATCGGTAACCAGCGATTATCTTCCGGATGGCGAGGGATCCGGATAAACGAGGACCGGATAAGCGAGGTCTGACTGTACACTGTCCCTGGGGGTGATCGCGATTCCACTGATGCAAACATTTCCTCAATTTTGACGTTTTCTTATAAATCCGCGATTCCCCCAATCGACACAGTCATTGATATCGCAATAGGGGCATGTAGGACACCGTACTCGAATCCCAACACTTGCCACGCCCAACAGCACCTAAACGTAACACGTGCATAACACAAAGCGACTATGCTGAAGTCATTTTTCCATTGTCAAGAAATGTTGCGCTGCTCATCAAAAAGCCGTGCAGAGCATGCGAGAGAAAAGTTAAAAGCAGGCTACAGAGTCCTAATAGTAATAAGATGATACATCAGTGGATGTCAGCCACAATCGCATAACCATAAAAATTGATACCCAATAGCAAAACACACGTGCACTAACTACATGTACACAGAACAGCACACGCAACGAAAATAAAGGCTTTATACAAACGTGTTACGAAGAGGTGGGATTTATTCGCATGGCTAGCAAATTACTGACAACATTCTAATGATTCTGTACATCATAGGCAAGATGATGATGTTATCCTTGAGAGCAGTGGGAAGTAGGTCAGTTGTTAAACATCATAGCCAAGTGGATCCTCAAGACCAGTGCGAAGTATATCTGTTGATGCTTGCTGCACCTCTTGTAGAAATTGCTTCAGTTCAGATTTCTGGAAAAGCTGCACCAGGGAAAAAACAGAAGCAAAGTAGAAAAGAAGTATCGATTTGCCAAACGCACAATGGGACTCTGAGAAAAGTCTGTAGCTCCTGAAATACTACTGTCACAACAGCAAAGTGTCGAGATAGAGCAAACGTCAACGTGAACATTACAAACCGCACAGACCTTGCCTTGCACTGACCTTGCACAGGTACATAAAGCCAAATCATCCAAAATGCATGCTGGGGCATTGTGTGCAAATAAGTTGAACTCAGTGTGACCTTGCATAATATAGGCTATTTTTTAGCGTATGGTCGCATACCACTGTACAATGCATAACGTGCATTCAGTGCATGCCACGGTACCACTGTACACAGGCAATGGGGAGAAGTTGCATCCTCAGAAAGAGCACGGGATCGTAAGTTGGTACCCGAAAGTGGTCAGCATCTCAGCCCCGGGTTTGGACGTTCCACATGGTCTGATGTGTGGTCCACATAGCAATCATAATAATCATAGTTTCGACTGAAGCCTCTACACGCGGACCCCAAACTCGTCCACTGATGGCATACACGAGTGCGCATAAATCCCAAAGGGTGAGATCGTGACTCGAACAGGCAGTCTGGAGAATGACCCACATACGTTTTGTGCTTCACCCGCTTGTGTCATCTATGGTGATTCCCAAGATGCGACATGTCCCTACATGTAACTCTAAATGGCACACTACATGGCTCCCTGGTGTGTGCGTGTGCGCATTTTGTACATGTACGACCATGCACTTTGTCTGTGTGTTGTATGTACGACCATGTACTTTGTCTGTGTATATACATGAATCATGATGAATGCCACACAACTTACAGCGTAGAGACCGTATTCTTCAGACGCAACCACTTCAGAAACTTGTAGACACTACAAAAACAACCCAAACAGCCATAGCACAGAGTCTAAACAACAAGCGTTTCTGAACAGCAGTGAAGCTGACGAGTCAGCTGACATAAGATAATAATACCAGGGACATGGTACTAGACTACTAGTACACAGTGCTATGGAGTATGGGGACTTTCCCACATGCATGCATAGAACACCTCTACATTCCTGCTAATCCCCACACAAGTAACGTTACACAGGTAGACGTCAACAGTCTACACAGCAAACCTAGTTTTGTGAGCGCAGAAATCTACTCATCGGCTTCCACCATACCCATGATACATGCAGAAAGAGTTACATAATCATACTGGTTCAGTCTCAAAAGAGCATCACAGCGTGATGGAAGACAGGAGAGAGACACATACCTCACGGCCGTGCTTTGTAGTCTTCAGTATCTTCACAAGGAGGAAACAGAGCGATGGAAGGCACAATCGCCTCAGTAGCAACAGCTGCTGCTCCCGACTGCTATCCACCTGACTTGGCTGTAGTGCAGAGGAACAGAAGCAAGAAGATCAACCCAATCTACAAAACCAACAGCAGCCTGCAAGCACGATAAATCGAATGCAGCAAGGGAAAATGGAGTTGAACTTGACCAGTTGGGCTCTTTCTGACACTGACGGGGCTCAGTTCATGCGACAGAAAGACCATGAGGCAAAAGAAACTTCACTGGACTAATCAAAGTGAGCATACACACACACACACACACACACACACACACACACACACACACACACACACACCAGGACATGCCGGCCCCTAAGACTTACCACTCGAACGTCTTGCAACCAACCATCCTGGAACATCAGGACGGCATAGATCTTCTGAACAGCATCCTGTTAGACGACACATTGTAGGGACAAATAAATGTACAATGTAGAGTCAAACGAGTAGGAAGCATTATAGAAGTACTCACCTCCCATTCCCATAACACTGCTGGACCCAAGACTGCCTTCCCAGCTATATCCTGGCCACCCTGGTCCGAAACATTCACCTCTCTCTCTCTCTCTCTCTCTCTCTCTCTCTCTCTCTCTCTCTCTCTCTCTCTCTCTCTCTCTCTCTCTCTCTCTCTCTCTCTCTCTCTCTCTCTCTCTCTCTCTCCGGTACCCTAACCCATTCAGACATTAGGCCAATTGCTCACTCACCTGTGTACATGCTTGCAAGGCATACTCCCAGCGCTGCAAGTCCACCTGTACATGCACAGAAGAAAAAAACAAACAAACACACCAGAATAACACACCAGAATAACAACAGGAACTGCTAGCACAGATACGCGTAGCACAACTACTGTACATGATTGTGGTACTGTTATTGTAAGTGAAATCTGGACCACTGTACACGGGCAGCACTGAAGGCAACTCTGCCTCAACAACCTGACCTCAGTACGCTCTCTACAACAAATACATGTCATGAGGTTGTCAATATCAGTTCGCAGCTCTGAAGACTTGTGTCGTTGAGCCCCAAACGTCTATTGTAGCAAAGCAGTAACAGCAATCACACACATGCACCCCCATGCACATGCTGCACAGCAATCACACAATGTTATGTGCACCCCATCTATGTACCTGGTACTGCTTATTCTCCTGCTCCAGTGCGACCTGCTCGGTAAACGATGAGACTGCACGGGTAGGCTCAGCCTAATGGTGCACACAAACACAGATACCACACATGGGAACATCACACCAACAACACTTTCAATTTCAAGAAATCAAATTTGAGAGGGATAAAACAGTACGATTTAACATACCCAGCTATAGTTCAACAGGTTGCAAAGAATTGTACAAGATAATTATATACAATGACACACATGAAAGAAGGTGAGCAGTAGCATGTGGCCATTGAAAATGCACCGTGTAAATAGTGTAAATCGACTCTCCGAGAACACCAAGCACCACCACCACCACCATTGGGCTATGCGGCTGACTACACGCACTTCGCAAAACTTAGCTGGCATGATTTCACTTACTGGTTTGCTATTGTAGTAGTGACGGAACCACTCATCAAACGAGCTCAGTGCAAGCTGGAGCAAACAACAGCACAAGTACCAACATTCCATAAAGAAAATGCATGCAAAACAGCGGGAACACTATCCACTGCACGCCTTGGCAAGCAGAGTTTAAGCCACTCTACACCATTCAACACATTTCCATTGATCTTCCCGTGAGAAAAGGACCATGGACATAATATTATAAAAATCAACATCCTCAGCAAAGGCATGTGAGCGCACGCCGTGCCGCACGCAGAATGACCAATGGCATAAACTCACCAGATACGCTTCTAAGCCCGTCAGCTCATGGATGGAGTTCTCGTCCTCCGCTGGAAGCAGGGTAGACCCAGTCTAGATCACATACAATGAGAGAAACGGGGGAACGGGCTGAAGGCAACAGGTTATGTTCCTAAACACTGATTGCACACGGTACAAAACGCCATGCAGTATACACCACACCCTCACACAAGGTAGAAACTACTAAACTCCCAAGCACAGCTGTATAGCCACAGCAGTCAGAACACATTCAATGGCAAACATACTTCTAACTGCAATGTAGCAATGTCACTGCGCTAGCAGAGTAAGCGTGCGTCTTCACTGCACGTACACCCTCAAACACAGTACAAAGATGATCCAGACCACAGGAGTTTGGTGCCAATGAGGGTGGCAGCAGCAGCATGAACACACCTTGGTCTTCCACTCTTCCTGGATAACGTGAAGAGAACCTGACGGGACCTTGTCCAACACAGCACGCGCTGCAACATGCTTCTTGGTGGCTGTGCAGAACAGCATGCAATACAGCAGTGGCATAGCCCACCCAATGAAGAGTGCTCAACATCATGAGATGGAACTCTCTCATACAGTAGAGAGAGAGAGAGAGAGAGAGAGAGAGAGAGAGAGAGAGAGAGAGAGAGAGAGAGAGAGAGAGAGAGAGAGAGAGAGACAGACAGACAGACACAGAGAGAGAGAGAGAGAGAGAGAGAGAGAGAGAGAGAGAGAACCGTACAAATGAGAAGATAAAAGTTCTCATCAAAGGCTTGGCTCTGCGGTGCAAAACGCACTAGTGGTCAGATCGCACTGACCAGACCAGCACACTGTAGATGATTCAGCACTGACCAGACCAGCACACTGTACATGATTCAGCACTGACCAGACCAGCACACTGTACATGATTCAGCACTGACCAGACCAGAACACCCTCAGAACATGATTCAGAACATGATTCAGAAGATCTCATGAAGATCTCATGTGCATGATCTCATGTGCATGTACTCGAATTTCAGAAATTTTAGGCGCTCAATATTTTTGGTACGAGGGCGAAAGGCCAGGTTAGGTGAACAGAAATTTTAGGTACAGAGAAGCAGTTCCCTATTGGACTATGTGTGTTAGTGTTCGTTCGGTGTATTGAAATGTTAGGCGTGAAACAGACGCACCGAAAGCGCCGAAAATAAAAGTACACCGAAAATTTGTGAAATTACAGTAGTCTTAAAACTCACCCAGGAAAGATCTGATCAGAGCGCAAGCCTGGTGTACAGCTTCACTGCGCTGTGACTTTTCAAACACTAGCCAGTCGAGCGCAGCAATACGCCGTTCATCCGCCTATCGGTGCCAACACAACACAAGTAGATGCATGGCGAAAAGTACAGCAACAGCCACAGGCGGTAAGTACAGCATACTGCTACACAGGCGTTGAAAACAGAACAAGTCACCATCACCACCTACACCAGTAGTTCTTGCACGGGAGTGCATGTGATATTGTAGTACATGTACAGTAGGTATCGGTTATAGCGTGGGTGTTTGAAAAACGACTTTCTATTCTTATTTCCGATATTTCTTACACACGATAAATCAGGTGTGGCATATCATACGCATGTGCGCAGGGGCAGGAAGATCATCGTACATGCAACGCAGTACTTCTGTGCATGTGGCTGGTCATAGTCCCACAGGCTTACCATGTGGCTATGCAACATGAGTTACATGACCACAACAGTTGAATCTGCAGCACTACGACGCAACGAGAGTCAGATCAGAACAGAATTGGACAGATGTTATTACTACAGGCGATACACTTTGTACTAATCTGGCATGTTTCGCTACACAAAGTCCATTCTCAGGACCGATATATTCTACTATGGGATAAAATTGCTTGTAAGAATAAATGTGCACTTGAAATCCATGTTATGATTATGAAAACATGAGAGTTCATTTTTGTAGGCAGTATATTCTTTTACACGACCACGCTATAACCGATACGCACTGTACACTGGTACTAGCAGGCACAGTGGACTTTCTGCAAGTAATTGGTTTGCCTGTCTGTCTACAAGGATAGATAGCCGCACCACACAACAGGAGCAAGACTGCACTGATGTATTTGATGTTTTGACGATTCATTGTTTTCTTCAGAATAATGATGTCTGTCTGTCTCTCACCTCTGTCAGTGAAGTCTGTGCAGTCTCCATATCCGGCCGCAGTTCGTCAGCTCCGCGACACCTGATATTCTCCACGACAAGCTTGGCGATTTTCGCAACATCAAGACCTGAGTGCAAGCACAGTCACAGTGATAACACAGCATCATTGGCAACATGAGCTTGCAGAATGCGACAGCACAGTTCCCATGCAACATGAAGATACACCAATACAGCACTATTGGCAACATGAGCTTGCAGAATGCGACAGCACAGTTCCCATGCAACATGAAGATACACCGATACAGCATTCTTAGTTCTACAGGGCAGAGCAAAGTCGCTGTTCCTCTGCTTTCAGGACAAGAGCGTTGCTTGTTTGTCATAGGGAATACAGATATTCCTCACTGTTCACTTACTGTCTTAGCGTGCGACTGATACACTAAGCTCAAATAAAGTACTCACCGGCTTTCTCAGCAAGGTCTAGAAGTGATCGTTTCTCGTCCTTCTCTTCAATACCTACAGACAAGGGGAAAACAAAGTGGTGCATAAAAGGAAAGCTACCATGCTCCGAAGGAACATTGTTGAAACCTCCATACTTGATTGGGTTGACATCTGTTAGGAAACCATACAAAAAATGATGATATCCAAGCCGAGATTGCCGGCATGGCACTGCAAGTGTGCTGCATTAAAGCATATGAAGTGTGCTCACCTTCCAGGAATGACGCATAGACTCTGACTTGCAGTGCTGGCGACAAGCAGGCTGTATACGTAGCAACCTGACCGCAAGCAAACACGCACACCCACATGCATGTAAACAACATAGCACGACAAACAGTTGGTCTCAGCAAAGAATGGTCATTCCATCAGGCATACTGGTAGAACACACACTAAAAAAAAACAGGGGAAGAAGACTAACAGAATAGAACACTAACAGGATGAAGACATTTGCGAGGAACAGACTTACCAGGTAGTTGAGCAACATTCACCATCAGCTGTAGTCTAACATGTAATACCAAGAGTAGATAAACAAGAGTGTGCAACTCCGGATCTCTCCTGCACAATCTGCAGATACCCCCGCCCACGGCGGAATTTTTTGTTGACGTCACCTTTTTTCAGAGAAACGCGCAGTTTGCCGCAGAGCAGTGTGAGAGCACGTGCTGGGCACCGACCTTGTAGTGTAAAGCCCGGCTAAGAGCACGAGGGAAAACTTTCCGAAAGACTCGCACCGCGTGCGTCGTAGAAAAGATTACGTCAACAAAAAATTCCGCCGTGGGCCTACCCATCCGCGAGTTGCACACTCTTGTTTATCTACTCTTGGTAATACTAGTCACCACCACCACCACAGGCCTCAGGCTGAAGATTAGCAACAGCAATAATACTGGATAGTCTAAGTTATGACAGTTGAATCAAACTCACCAGATTGTACAGCTTGTCCTGGATCAGCGACTGCAGCCACGAAGAAGAAGAAAATTCTTAGTGAACACATTCATTTTCATTTATTAATTTACCTAATGATAATACCGAGATGCTGTAAGTTTTAAAACTGGTTCAGATTGGCAGTGTCTTGAGAATGGGTGTGTACATGTATGGAACTACACGACACATCAAGATTACAGGAGCAGTCTTGAGGTGTCAGTGTAACATGACTTTTATTCTTATTTTTAATCTACAGTGCCCCGTAGACACCCTCACAACAACCTTGACCAACCGCCTCGACAAACTTGGCAGACAACCTTGGCTCAAAGTCATGTCAGAAGTGGGCAGTAGCTATACAACACTTCAGCAATGCATGCTTTCTGAAGAGACTCTGTGGAAGACGAAGAGTGGGCACAAACAGCAGGCATGTGTGGTGTGCCACGGGGAAGGTCTGTACATGTACAGTGCACTCACCTGGATGTATGCCTCAAGTACTTCATCACACAGTGTAGTCTACATAGAAACAACAACACACACCAAGCAGCAAAGGGAGACGCGGCGCAACAGAAACATCGTGCTGTGAATGAAAAGCTGAGCAAACCACTGCTACTATGCATAGCAGTTCAAAAGGAACGCTCAACTACAGACAAACGATTCCACACACGACAATCATACCCCCCTCCCACACAAACACACAGATACTGGAATACTGAAAGGCCAACGATTCCTAGCATTATCTCTATACAATGAAAAAAAGAGAGAAAGAGACATCACAATTCCATGCGTTAAGATGACCATCAGTCCTACAGATATTTTTTGAAATAAGTGAAAGTTCACAGCAAAACTGAAAAGGTACAAGATACAAGATCAGGGTACACTGAACATTGGGCGGAAAGTTCAGACTGTAAGCTCTAGCACAGCACTGCAAGTAGTCATGTGAGAGGCCCCTCAGGCACTCACACCGTACTGCGCTGTCATCACACAACCAACCAACCATCACAAGGTAAGCTGCTGCTCAGTGCTTACCCCTCTTCTGAGTTCAGTACACAACTGCAAATAAATATGCCTTTTCAGAATAGTGCGCTCTTATACCCACTCAAAGCATGTGTGACACAACAAACAATACACCCAAAGTACAGACATCCGCTCAACAGGCACCCACACTGAGAATATAATCGCCGTACCTCCATGTGCTGGTTGAGCATCCGCATGAACAAAATTACGTGTGCCTGTGCAAGAAAAGGAAAAAAGAAAGATAACAGCCATGTTTTCGGTCCTGCACTGTTATTGTGTTAAGTTTTAACCACTACAGGCAGTGCCAGCAGCCAACATAGCCATTGGTTTCTACGCCTCCGTAAGTTGCCTAATGTCACAAGGCTTGTAAGTAGTAATCGCAAATCCAGACATCGGAGAGGCCTTGAGCATCAACAGTGCAGTCTCAAAGTCATTAACAGTAACTTACCATGCATCGGAGAAGGTGATGGTTCATATGTGGGTGGTTCTCAATCCAATCATGGAAGGAGTTCAACAGACCTGGAGAGAAGGAGCACAAGTAGTCATGGAGAGAAGAGACAGCCAGTCACACACAGACACTGATGAACGAGAAAGTCAAGTAAACACGAACAAGCCTTGGAGGTTACATATTGTGAAAATACCGGCGATTCATTCCTGTGAGTGTGCACATTACTATACGAATAGGCGACTAGGACACACTAACTCTAGTATAGCGATAAATAGTATCAGTGAAGCGGACATTACGCGAAGAACAAAGAGAACTATACACTCGTCATCAGTGCAGGCTGAAGCATGATTGCACTACTGTGTGTACACTGCCAGTGCATCTTACCTGCAACATCATTCAGAACCAGGTGCCGCTCAATGACGTGAAACGGTTCAGCTGCTTGCTGACGCATGGACTGAGGTGGCAAGTGGAAACACATGGGCAACACACAACAGAAAATATCGGGTGCATTGCAATGGACTGACATGGAAGACATCAGTCTAAACTGGAATACAACAAAAGGAAAGCCAGCATGAAGCAAGTACACATGCTACACATACATAAACACGTGCATAGAATCCAATAACATGAAAGAGAATAGGTTCATTTCTCACTGGTAATGATATACGAGGAACACCTTACCTCGCTAGGATTCGTTGCCAATTCATCAAAGACAGCACTGGGTGATAAGCTACACAACACAAAGTGACAGTATTGAAAGCACATGTTCACCCAGATACACACACGCATACACACACATACAATTACATCATAATATCAAAGGAGAGCGAAAGCACTAAAACACACCAACTGCAATAAGCAGAGGGTGAAATGCAAGAAACCGAGCACACACTCGCATGCACACAGATACACACTTACACACACATACACACACACAGAAACAGAGAAAGATGAGGAGCTATCCAAACGACCACAGACTACCAACGTTCCTGGAAAGCCATACTTTTTGTCGCCATATCCCTCCGGAAGTGGTTCCCACGGTCGTCCATCAAGGCGCGGTACAAGACGAATTTCCTGAACAAAAACACAAGTAAGAAATTTCCTTTCTGAAGCTGAACACATTCTAGATATGAGCTGGGCTTGTGTCAAACACAGGAAGCATGGAAAAAGAAATTGGTGGAGCATTTCCCCCTTTTGCCACTCTGGAGATACGGGAAGAATCTTCTCGCAGAGATCTTTCCAAGGAGCCAATACTGAAGAACAAGTGGGTAGAACTAAAGTTCAGCCAAAGAACATCCCCTTTTTCTGATCTACCCAACAGCACAAAGAGATAGGAAATTAATGGGGGTTGTAATTTCTGTGCTCCAATAAATTTAACCCTTTCAGTGCTAATGACGAGATATCTCGCTCTGTAAAGTGTGCCTGAACGGCGGATGATGAGATATCTCGCTCCATGGCCCACGCAATAGTACGAAGTGCATATATCACTGTACAAACTGTCGTAACTCATGTCAACGTCGGCCGATTTTCACAAACGATATGCCGTTGGAAAGGTGTTGAACTCAGCTTTCCAGTGATATACTTTCTATTACCTTGCGATAGGACTAGATTTGAGTGAGCGATGACGAATAGAATTGGAAAAAAAATCAAAAAATACGCTTTCTAGCCATCAGTTAACTTTTTGTTCGCGACTCACTTTTTTTTAGGGGATTTCCCTTTGCTACAGCGCAAGCGTGTTGGGCATCAAACAAAGCGCTTGGATCTCAGATTTGCAGCGCAGTTTGAATCGTGAAGTTTGGTTTAGTTTGAGAGAGACGGCAAGCGAAAATGTATTATGAAGTTGTTTAGCGATTCTGAGACATGTATGTGCTCTAGTAGCTTCTTCTAGAGCACATAGAAGTGATGCTGGCATGCCTATGGAGCTGAGAACTGCCAGAGAGTCTTCGCTTGGCTCAGGCCTTTCCAACAAGCCATACATCGTGGAAATCCATCAATAAATGCAAACACAACGAAAGATTTTGCTCCGCGACGTGCATGCAGGGTCTGAAATGTAACCAAGTGCGCTGAAAGCTAAGCCGGCAGGGGGAAACTAGGCCAGCAGTGAAAGGGTTAAAAGGATTCAATTTCGAAGGTTTGAAATATCACTTGACCTGGTGCATGAATGTGCTTAGAGTCTAAGACGTGTCCAGATGGTGACAATGATGTATTTTAGTGCCGCTGCGAGGGGAATCCCACCGCAGTCACCAGTGCCTGGGCATTATTACAGAATAAGGATGGCTTTGCACAAAATATTTTTTGGATGCGGTTATTCATTCATTCGTTCGTTGAATTGGAATTCGAGCGAATGATCGTTGCTGGAAATCTCAGTTCGTTACACTCCTAGAAATTAAACCAATATTGTTGGCATTCACTTTCAGGCATATGTCAGTGCAAAATAGGGATGAATGGGATGGTTGAGGATAAGCACTTTTGAAATGGTCCAATATCAACACCAAGCTCACCTCTTCCACCTGCACGTCAACAAGCGTCTTGAAGTATCCCCATAAGCAATCTTCCCACGACTCACAGACTGGCAGAAGCTGCATTCAGATGGGCAAAGAATAAGATATGGATTACTCCTGAAAAAAACAAAGTAATGCATTTGAAGCAAGGAAAAGCAACAAGACAAAGAGACGCCTAAACTCCCTGAAGGATAGCAAAGAGATGTACAACATTCCAAACTTACCTTCTCTAAATTTCCACTATACGCAGCAACGATGGCACGCTCATACGGACTGTAGCCATCCTGTGATGCGAGCAAAAAGAAAGAAGCAAGCAAGCACACACATACGCATGTACACACACACACACACACACACACACACACACACACACACACACACGCGCACACACACACACACACACACACACACACACACAAACGCGCTGGAGATGGCCTTATATGAGCGTGATTGCATTACAGATTACTAGTATATTCTTGGGAAAGACTCACACAAAAATGATTGAATTACGATCGAAAACTTATTTGCAAAGTTCAATCCCCTGGGTCAAAGTAACAGTTCCTACACACGATGTTAAGAATCTGCCAGACTTTTGACAACAGCACATTGATCAGGTAGCGAGCACCCAATGTGCAGACAGTACTGTTGCGTTCTTTGCGAACACGATACCTGAATGATCCCGACAGGGACTACTCAGTTGGTGCAGTACCGTCCGAAAATGTCGAATCCTTCCACCCCACAGTGCAGTTCAGGTGTGGGCAGTGGCCGGGCTAACGCACTCTCTATGTCTCTGTCCACACGACCGTGGCCGCGCTGTGGCCATCACTGCACTATCCCAGACCAGGCACAACCAGCAGATGTACAGGCATATGCTGTTTCCATCAAGCTACCGCCGTTCTGGCCTCATGACCCACATTTTCGGTTTGCGTAAGCTGAGGCTATGCTCAGCACTCAGCAGACCTGGGCTGAGCGCACTAAATTTGACTACGTTGTCAGCGCCTTGACTGTCAAGCTTCTCCAGGAAATTAGGGAGCTCGTCCTGCATCCTCCTAGCGCCAACCCGTACACCGTCATCAAGGAACAGCAGACTAAATGGACGGAGATTCCCAGGTTCTGTGAACTGCTGTCGGATGAGGAACTTGGAGATCGCAAGCCATCCCAGCTTCTTCGCAAACTCCAACAGGTTCTGGGTGGATGCTAGTTTCCTGCGAGCATTGTTCCTGCAGCGTTTACCTGCCTCGGTGAGGATGGTCCTGGTCTCAGCCAGCAACACGATGGATATGACCAGCCTGGCCTCCATGACAGATCGAGTTATGGAAGTTTCCTGTGCTCCACCACTGGTGGCGGTGGTAGTAGTTGCCGAGGAGCATATGGAATGGTTAGACGCACTCCAGCAGCAGGTCTCGTCTGCACTCACCACTGCAGTGGACATGCGCTTTCGACCCAGCTCGCCAGAAAGGCAAGCAGTGCGCTCACGCCAAAATCTCACCCAGGGTGAAAATCCGTACACTGTAATGTTAGTAAACAGCAGTACTCACAGCATTGGCTGACTGCCAACACGTGTACTTCCACACGTCTCGATATGGGTTGCCGGCCACAGCGCCTCCTTTCCCTGCACCACACAACAAAGGAGCCACATTCATGCTAGTCAGACCAACATACAAACATGCATGTGTAGAAAGCCCTTTAAGCTAACAAGAAGCACCACAGATAGGCAACATGGAGCACTTTGCCTGGTAGATGATTCTACTTTGAAGTATCTATGCCTGGGTGAAACTTACCGCTATAGTTAGGATCGTGGAATAGATTCCAGCCTTCAAGATCTGCGGCACGCCAGGATTCGCCACATTTACGACACAGATCTTGTGCCTGTAAAAACAAAAACGTCAACATCACCACAAGACTTTAGCATGAATTGGAAATTTGCCTTTCTCAAATGACATCATGTGGAGCACAGTAGTACAGTGCCCTCTCCTTCCACACACAGACCGACCGAGGCTGACTGTAAGCAAAACAAACCAAAAATCATGATTTTTGCAAACCTGCTTGGAACAGGTGGCAACGGTGCAGTCTGTACGGAGAATTCCAAAGGAACGTCGTACACAGCATAGTCTTATTTCCGAATTCTGATCACTGGTAACCATAGCCCCCCCCCCCCCCCCCACCACCACACACACACACAACCGCTCACCTCCTGTAACTGTCCAGCACGAATGAAAGCAAACACCTGCCGCAGAAGACGCCGTTCATCGCGCTGCAGCAAAGTAGACCAGTGACAAGAGAGATATACACAAGAAGACACATACGCGTACTCTTTTGGTCACAGGGCCTTGATGTCTAGACTTCTGGTTACATCACGCCAGCTCTCCTTGTGGTTGTAAGTATGAACAGTTGAGCAACATATTCGGAAAAATCAATGAGAGCCCAGGAACGGAGCAGAGAGATACATACCACATCATCATCTGACAGTGCCTTCTTCTGCCGTATCGCTACATCAGGGTCCTGGGCACGGTAGACACCCAAAGACACAGACAGACACATAGGCAGACACAAAAACAGTCACATAGACAGACACATGGACAGACACATACATAGACAGACAGACAGACACAGACACATAGGCAGACACAAAAACAGTCACATAGACAGACACATGGACAGACACATACATAGACAGACAGACAGACACAGACACATAGGCAGACCGACACAGACGGATATACAGACACACACACACACAAAAACAAAACAAAAAGAAATCATTGTGACCAGGCTTGCTGACCGAACCTGGCACTTGTGTTCAACTCACTGCACTGTGCCCTTAACGAAACTCCCAGTTTCACAAATTATTTCCAGGACCCGATAGACTTTACATTCACTGCACACCATAGTGTGTGGGTAGCTGCATGCAGGCATGCAAGAGCAGAACACAACAAGCACAGTACCGGTAGCTTGTGCAGATGTTTCACAGCAGAACATACCCAACAGATACACTTTTTACACGAGTCACGGTTAAGCTGTAACTCATAGTTTCACGCCAGATCATGACAATCCTCAGACAACTGATCCAGTGCGATGTTTGCAATATAGCTCTGCTTCTGTAAGCATTGAGCACTCTATTGAACCAGAAGACTGCGCTCTCTGCACCTTTATTAAAAAAAAACACTGGTACAAAGCTTTGAAAGTGCAACTAACCAATTCGGTTACGAGGCCACTGGGAATGGGCTGATTGCCGTCGCGACTCATTTTCAACTCGTGTTGTGTATTCTCCCTGCAGGCATGCACACAGGAACAAAACACCGTGTTACATACTCAATTCATATCCTTGTGGCAAATAGTCCCTGGTACTCTCCCTCCAGCAGTGCTCTAGGACATAGATCATTCGGCACATCACCCCCAAGTCCGAACGATTTACATCTGAGGGAGCTAATGACTTAGGCGCTAGCTAGGATACCACGTATAGGGGGAAAATCTGAACGCTTGTAAGGGGACAGCCGAAAGTCTGGCCAAAAGGAACATTTCAGATGACCAAGTATACTCATACATGTATCTCTCTTATCCAAGCGGTCTGGGACCGGGCACTGCTGATAAGTTGCAAATGACTAGGTCTGAAACTCTGTATCACATACGTTTTGATGGGGTAGTGCCAGTGATCTGGCATATGAAGTCACTACTTCCATCAAAATTGTCAAAGAAGTACAATACATGCAGTAACGTTTCCACTAAGACTTGCCCACAGGGTGCACGGTAGACCAAGGCGCCCGGAACTTCGAGGTTCGGATAAGAGAGATATGAGTGTAAACGAAATGTCCAAAAAAAGCGTTACATAGCCTAATTCCAGGCAAGGAGCCCAGGATCCATTTATTGCAGAGCAACACGTTTAATAGTTGACACATTTTCAAAAAAATCAGTGCAGATACGAAGATGGCAAAGATACCCTTTCCCATGATGATTATTACAGTGAGAAAGGAGATCAAGGAGGTCAATTTACATACCAGCAGACAATGTCGGAAAAGAACTCGACACGTTCAATCTGGGCCAGCTTCTCTCTAGCCGCGTTCTCCAGCCAGTCCACGACCATCTGGCTCTCGCGCACCATCGAGTCACGGTCAAACAGCGCCTTGGCAATGTCTTTCTCGCTCATCTTGTTCATCTGAACACAGAAAAAGCCAGAGTAAGACAGGGGCAGAGCAACGCACAGTCTTTCCTGTCATAGGTGCAAATGACCATGAACTGGTCAAAGCAAAGAGAGCAATCAAATGTAAAAACAGTATGATAAACGGGGTAGACAGGAAGAAAGAAGAAAGAAAGAGTCTGATAGCAGGGGAATGGACGCAGCAAAGGAACATGCATGCAATTCACGGACTACAGCTTCGCACAGGCGCAAAACCCACACATAAACGCCTCATTATCGCTCAAAAGCACGAAACTTAAAGTTACAGCTGAGCAGCCATTTGCCTCCGTTGTTTGTGTATACTGCTCTGCACACTTGTGTATTGAGCACTCTATTCGAGCTGCCTTGACCGGCCCTGTTTGTAAGCTCATGTACGCAAAGTTAATGTAAACAAAAAACAGCAGATCGCAGGCATTATCAAAATTTATCTTACCACATAATCTGTAACACATGCTTCTGAGTCTGGCGTTCCTTCCAGGCGATCTCTGTAACAGAAAAACAAACAAAACAATAGAGCAGCATGTCTCCAACGCTACTTTAGACCAAATCTACACAACAGAGACTATTCCATGAAGTTGTAAAAAGTGATTTGACACACCTTCCTTGTCATATGCACCAGAACCAAACGCTAGACGTCCCCGCCAGCCGAGAATAGCAAGACTCATCTCCTCGCTCAGATACTTCATACTTCGATTCAACAGACCTGGCAAACCTATTGGTCTACGCATACGCTACAAAAACACATCTAGCAGCGCTTACCCATAGAGGGCATGCGCTAGCTGCCACACATGCTTTTCCTCTCTCAGATGCGATCCCGACTGACAGAGCTGGTTTAGCCTGAACATGGACACACACGTGTGCACGCACGCGCGCACACACACACGCACACACACGGGGCGAGCACCCACAAGTAATGAAGGCGCTGACAGGTACAGACGGCAACAGCAATATCTTGGTACCTGCATACCTGGCAAACACTGGCATGTGAGATTGTAGGCAAACCTGCATGATGTAGCCGACGTATACTGCACCACAAGTGTGCAGTCCACCAGCCTTACAGCGCTCAATATTTACAAATACACAGAGCATAGGCACACAAGAGAGGACGGGCAGTTTTTACTTGAGACTCTGAGTTTTCGAAGCACTCGCACTCCGAGTTTCATGATAGAACGATCATCAGATGTCCAATGATCGTCCTATCGTGTACCTCGGAGTTACGAGTAAAACCGCTCGTCCTCTACCATGCAGCCATAGATATCGTCTTATCTCAATCTGACAATAAAGGAAGAATTCAAAGAACAGCTTGTAGTTGATTGAGCACACCAGGCATACATGCCAACCTACTTCTGTGTAGGTAAGTACTGCTGTGATTGTGTCTGCATCTGCTCCAGGATTTCCAATTCCTCTTGGCAAGACTAAATCAAACAACAATAAAAACAAGACAGGGCAGGGCAGTGAGCAGTAATTATTATGGCCACACACTCATGACCAGAAGCACGTAAGAACTCTTCAAACGAGAGACATCGCATTCTCTTTCTTGACAGAAAATGTTCCATGTACATAAAACTGGTCAATGGGCACAAGTTACCGGTTTTCAGGTCTTAGACTCTAATCAAAACCATCCAGAGCAACGCCTTGATACTGTACATTGAAGTACTTTGAAGTGGTACGTACGTGAGCAAATTCCTTCGCCATTCGAAGTGGATCAGCACAAGCATTTTGCTGTCGAACATGGGCTTCGAAGCTCTCGAATACCTTTGGTACACCTAGAATCAGGCAAGCATAAACACACCCACACCCACAAACAGACCCACACACCCACACACCCACACACAAACAGACAGACACGCACACACACACACAGGAACATAGTGGACAATGCTAGGGTCATGAAGGTCGTGTAGTGTATATACAGCATAAAGACTACGTTCGAGTAGTTGTTTTTGGCTGCTACTAGTATTTCTGCTGTCCAATAGCTGGATATGCTCAACTAATATTACTTGTCATTTTCTGCTATGAACTATCAAAATGGGGAGAAGAGCACACATCCACCCCCCCCCCCCCCCCCCCCCCCCAATCATACATGGACATAAAGGATGTGGAGGGCGCTCGTAATTCACAGCATTGTAAACAGTACACACTTTGTGATGACCTAATACTGAAGCTCGTGATACAAAGACGTATGTTCTACACGCTTAGAGTAAACATTTAGAGGTACATGTATAAGGTGAACATACCTGACGCTGTTGTTGCTTCACCAAAGTCACCAAGGTTGCCGGTAGCCAGAGCAAAGCTGCCACCCGTTGGTGTCTGCACAACCATAGAAAGAAGCACAAACACACACCACACACATACACAGGCACACGCGTACACACGCACATGCACACAGACACACAGACACACACGCGCACACACACACACACACACACACACACACACACACACACACACACACACACACACACACACACACACACACACACACACAGAATAAATACACAATCTAAAATGTTTCTTTGAGCATTGATTAGTTTACGTGTGGCACGACAGTACAGCGTAGGCAAGTGCATATAAGAAAGCTCAGTAAGTCCAATTGCATGGATTCCTAGTAATTTCCTACACATCCTACATTGGTGCAGGGTACATTACAGTACTTGGAGAACTTTGTGCAGCCCATTCGAGGATCCATTGCATTGGGCAGGAGAAGCAGAACAAAACGTTGTATCGTGTGTGTGTGTGCCAATGAAGTAAGCACTTAGCATGCCTGAGTGAAGTTCACCAAGCTGCACAGGATAGGCTGGGCAAAAATCATGCGCAGGTATTTTACTAGTATACAACTGAACACGCACAATACATTGTATGTGACATGTAGGTAGCAAGGAGAAGCAAAATAGCGATGCAGGACTAAAAATGCACGTCACCGCACAACTTACATCCAGCATGGAGCTTCCCATGAAAGACAAGGCTTGGCGGGGCGTCTTCAGCATAGTCGGATCTGGCATGTAGCTCATGTCAGTGCTTGCAGTGGCTGCACCCGCTGATGAGGTGGGCCGAGATCCAACATTGAACGTGTCATTGTAAGCAGCTGATGATGAGAGAAGACAGAAGCAATACGATCTGACAACTATGAAGCAAGATATCTTTTCAAGACTATGAGAGAGAGAGAGAGAGAGAGAGAGAGAGAGAGAGAGGGAGAAAAAATAAAGAAAATAGAGCAAACACTTCTAGAGCAGCATACAAGAGAGCTGGAAATACGGCTGTAGAAACAGAGATGAAGACCAACCACGCCCTTACCAGTCGGTGCAAGACTTGTTCGGGTTGAAGGCTGAAAAAGAAAGAAAGATGGAACATAGAAACTTCCAATGACCATGATTAGGAGGAACGCGTGTAAATTGCTTTATCGTACAGAAACACCACAAAAGCAAACAATGAAACTCTAAAGCATGGATTCTCAAACTCCTGCAAGAATTCACTGAGTTCAACCAAGACGAACTAAGGCTCTTGCTTTATACGTCAGAAAACCGCAACATTACAACATGAACTGGGACAGCCATCAACCCACCTGTCGTATTCCAACTGGACTGGGTACAGCTGAGAATCCAGCACTCAATGAATAGCGGCCTTTGGGTAATCTATCACAAACACCACAGTCAAAGCAAGAGCACTGGATTCTAATTACCTGTGTGAGGATAAGAATTTTTACTTTTTTTTAGAAACATTCATTTTTCAACAAGGACGAAGAATGAAGTCCACCGTGTACTGGGGACGAGATCCCAACACACGTTTCATGTTTATTTTATATTCAAAAGCCCTTGATACAGTTGATAGCATGTCCACCAATCTATCTTTGACCTTGCAACCAAAACCAAATGTACTACTTTGCCCATTGTCTGCTTCTATTGCCGACACACCAGTTCGGTTATCAACACGTACACCAGCAGGGTTCTAGTTGAAGGAAGGTAGAAGAATGCAGCACTCACCGACAAAAAGGGCCACCCTCCTCCAGGAGATGTACCGGTAGTGCAGTGAAATTTCATCACATGTACAACATACATTCACGGGCTGCAAACTGTCTCTTACAGCCGATGTACTGTTTATCCGAGGTTAAATGACTTGGATAGCATAGGGTACTGAACAAAACGTTGCATCCCAGAACATGCTGGCATATGCTTCTGCTCAGTCTTGATCGCCTCTCCTGTCCTCCTGAATAATGTCCTACCTAGAACTGCATATTTCAAAATCGCGAACAAAAGGACGAGCTGGATCGACATGTGTGATGGCGGTGTAAAATGTGAAAATATTGTGGAGAAACAAAACATGTGATAGACAATCATGAAATTACTTCCAATTCTAAGCTCGTCCTTGTTTTACTTTTACTTTGAAACTGTTGTCGCCTTGTAGCTTATTTACATAGAACTGCATAGAAAATGTACACTACTGGACAAGAGTTCTCACCTCGCAGGGCCGGCTGTCAGGCGCTCCTCTTCCTTCGTCTGCAGATGCGCATTCAGGTCAGCAGCACTGAACTGAGTGGCGGCGGCAACTGACTGCGAGTACTATATACCACATCAAAAAGCAATAGCAATCAACCACGGAATAAAGCCAGTCTCAGATTAATATAAAGTCACGGCTTTGTACATGATGCAAGTGATTATTATTATCAAATGTTTAATGGGACAATTCCCACAGGCCGAGGCCTTTGTTGTGATGACATGTGTTTGCAAATGAAGGAGCAAGTACCATACTAGCAAAACTTCCAGCCCAGCAGAAAGTGGAAAATGACAATTTAGATCAAAATTTATGTGTGGACTTAGACGTTCATGTCCAAGCATAGTAGGTGGGTCATTTTGTATCTAAAATAGCGAGGAAAGCAGCGATGTGTCGAATATACCACCATGGCTTTAACGGTGCAGACATCCAAGGACTATGCTGCCATATTCTTTTGTCAGGTACAAGGTAAATTAGCACATGTTACACAGACACCGCTGGAGAATCTGATGACGTTTTCACACCACTATGCGTCAAAATCGGCGCAATGGTGATAGCAGCTAGCAAGCAAAACAATGTCACTTATACAGCTTTCTAGGTGGTCTGGGCGGTGACAACGCAACAGCAAAGAGAGCGCGAGTGGCACCAACTACAGAGAAGCTCTACAGTTGGACCAGTAAGCACACAGAAACCAGCTCTTTTTTTGGCACTATTCCAACTGTCTGCGAAGCTGCACAAATGACATTGTGTTTTCTCATTTTCTGTTACCACTATTATACTGATTTTGAAGATGGTGGGAAAGGCTTCATCATATTTCCATTGGCTTCTGTATTGCATGTGCTGATTTGTCTTCTTCCAACGTAACCTCTATTCACTTCCTTTTGTGTACCTCTTGCGTAACCTCTATTCAAAAATATAAGACAGCTCCTGACACTGCTTTTCCAAAAGTCAAGTTTGGCTTACTCTGTTTCTCTATTGCAGGGGTTTATCTGCTGTAGGAAGCCGGTGATTGCCTGAACTAACTACAGTACATGTGCTAGTTTTTATATCAAAGTCGGTCACGTGCATGGCTGGAGATTTAAAAGACAGCCACAGAATGATACCATCTGGGTAATTCCGGATTACGATAGCAAGCATGGGGTGGGAAAATTACTCTACTTTAGGGCTATAGGAATGTACCCACGATATCCACTAGTATGGACAATATCAACTTCATCATCAAGACATAACATCGATAAACAATATTGCCACACAATAAGACTTCATAACTCGAGGTTGATGGTCGCAATACACGTGAACATGACGCGCTTTAGCGAGAGGAACATACCTGCCACACATCATTGATGACTTCGTCATCGCTATCCTGAAGCACGGTCGCCATTGCTTCCAGGAGTGTGAAACAACCTCATCAAACCATCATTGACTTTCCTTGAGTCTTATCTTCTTCATTTTCACCTTGTTGGCGAAATGTAGCATTTTTACTTTTTTTGATCTTTTCAAAAAATTGCCGTAGCGCCATTTTCAAAATAATTAATCCGAAAGATTTTGCTGAAAGTGAAACATAACACTGGAAAATTAATTCGCACACGAAGCTACGTAGTCGTGCGCGTGCATATGCGCGCGATATGCACGCGATCTCGCGATCGACACGTGGTACGTACGCGCGCGTGTAGCATGCCTCCTAAATTCTAATCCTCCCCGATTTTCAGCATCGTTGTACTGAAACCATCAGATTCATATCCAAATCGGCTTGCAAACCGTACCGGTGAAATCAATACCCGGCCACGTGCTTGAATCGTGCACGCATTCATTCTGTCGTTGTCAGGATTGCGAAAATCTGCGGAAGTGGCTTTTGCATTTTGGCCAACAACATTTCCCAAACTCCAAAGAAGAACCGTCCAGAGCAGCATCGAAGAACAGAAGAGAAGGATCGTGCGTGAGTGAAGAGACATTCTTCTGTCCACATAGCTCCAGGAAACATGAGTGTGTGCCTTGTGGTGATCGATGGATGGGGGATCTCGGACAATGTCGAAGGTAGGCATTTGATAAAATGCGTTGTACCTTCAAGTACGTCCTTGTACTACTATGTTGTACTGTATTTTCACTCAGTTGTGCCCAAAAAAGCAGTTCTAACGTTCTTATAATGAAGATGGCTACTTCAGAACTTCGAATCAGAAGTATAATACTTGAAGTAGTTTCTGGGTCATAATGACGTGAGTGGAGCAACTAGAAATCAGCGCTAGGGATCATCACCGAAAAGAATGATAACCTGTGTGAAGAGAAAGTACTACGGTTGCGTTACAGTACATTTATAGGAAACTGACGTCATTGAGAGCACCTCAGAGTCAGAGATACTAGGGGCATGTTTGATTGTGCGAATTCGTGGGCCCCAGACCCGGATTCGCCAAATTCGTACATGTTCGATTGTACGAATCCGGATCCCGGTCCCACGGATTCGGATTCAGTCAACCCACCTCACAGAGCCGGATTCGACAGATTCGTTCGCATCGTATCTACTCAAAACTCTACATATGCGTACGCTAGGTCAAGAGTTCACCATAATGCGTACATATACAGCGAAATAGTACGGGATGAGCTGTAGCAACTCAGTTGCTAAGGTCTTGAAACGGATTATCTGTTGTGCACATTCACTTGTATCCGTCTGATCGAAATGATCTGGTCGGCGGGTATCGGGATCCAGTTTCCACAATCGAATGCAGCCTAGGTATACCTTCCGAATCACTTTCCCGTACCTTTTTATGCCAAAATCCGGCTGAATAGTGGTACCAGTCGTTGGCTTACACATGTACGTTGCAATTTAGGAAACTTCACTTCTCAACTCCGAACTCCAAAAGCGGTCTCTTCACTGCGATTCAAATCCAAATTTACATCACACCAAATTTTCGGGCCTGGCCCATCATCAGGTTAATTTGAGATAATGTAAATTTGAATTGGAATTGCAGTGAAGAGACCGTTTTTGGAGTTTGGAGTTGAGAAGAGAAGTTTCCTAAATGTGTAAATGGCTGCGTTGGAGTTTGTGGAAGATATGTTGCAATTTGTTCCAAAAATCACAAATTTAACCCTGAATCGAAGCAGATTCTGCAACAAATTCAGGATTTGCAGGTCGAAGCAACTAACAAGACGGCAACGTCTGTAGGGCCTTCCCTATCAAAATGATAAATTCTACTACTACCTATCTTCCCAACTATTTACGAACGCATTGTAGGTGAAATGGTGAAGTCGAATCCGAAGTGTACACCTGGCACCTACGACTTGCATGGCGGCCCTTTGGCATTTTGACTTTGCAACCTGTATTGGCTGTATGTCGTATGAATGTCGCTGGGTATGTGTCATGTTTTGCGTGAACTCTACTGTACTGCATTCAAATTGGGTACGTTTTGTTACACATTCTGGACCCAGGTTTAGGAATTTTTAAGTTGCCAGCATCAGCGGATTACGGCAATGTAAGCCAACAACTGCAGCTCGTTATGGATTCTAGTCACGATCTACTCGGCAGAAAACCGTGGAAAGAGATCATGTACCAGTAGAGGACTCTTGTACGAGTTAGTTGTACGTATGCTGCGGACACACACGGGGTCGAGAGAAAGAGCTCGCAGCTGTTTGCAGGATCCTGGACCAATAACCATGATGACATGGGAGTCTCCAGAAGGTATTCCTGTGTGGCCAGCAGTTTCTTCGTGGGCAGGACAACGCGTCCTCCACTACGACAGGATGGACAAAGAGACATTGACTTTTGGAATTTACTTTTCAATTTAGGCACAAACTTCTTTACTGTGCACGTGTGTACGGATTTCAGTTTGAGATGTGCCTCTAGAAATGTACATGTAATTTGTGTAAGCAAAGCCATGATCCAGGATACTGGTAAGCAGGTTTTTTGATGCTAATATTTTATTGTCGGTTTCTTTGCACCCAGGCAATGCTATTGCTAATGCCAGTACTCCGGTAATGGACGCTCTGTCGCAGGGCACCTACACCACACTGGATGCATCCGGCCTGGCAGTCGGTCTCCCTGATGGCCTAATGGGCAACAGCGAAGTGGGACATATGACCATTGGCTGCGGCCGTGCCATCTATCAGGACATTGTGCGCATCAACATATCGCTGAGTGAGAACACGCTCAAGGACAACGCCAACCTCCTGCAGGCATTTGAGCGCTGCAAGAGTGGCAACGGTCGTCTCCACTTTGTTGGCTTGGTAGGTTTGATGCATGTGCTGAGCAGGGCGAAGTACATTATCACTACTACTTCAGGGTCTCTACATACTTGTGTGCATGCTTATTGCTAGGTGACATGCTAGTGGTGTCGAGTCCTGTCATTGCAGTGTTACCAACTGCTTCTACCTGGAAAGCGTGCAACCAGATCTCATTTTGCGGAATATTTTGCTCTGTTGCGTACTCCAACCATTTTTTTGGTATCCCCTCATCCAAATGTTCCACATTTTTTCGGTCATTTTCGTTCGAGTTTTTGATGAATTGCCGCAAGGGCAGAATGATTTCCAGCATAACATATTCGTAATACTTATTATAAGGTCACCTAGAGACACGGCAATCTCAGCAGTAATAATACTTTCGTCGCCAAGCTGTCTCGAACAACCGGGCCTAACGATTCCAAACTGGTATTGCCAGCTACTACTCGAGCATTCTTTTTGTGGGTTTGATTATCCGACGGGGCACGTGCCTGGTGACATCGTTGAATCCACCATGGGAGACGCTAAAATCGATGTTGCAGTATTTACAGAAAGCAAAGTGAATGCTCTTCTTCTTACTCGCAGCAATTCCAGGTGGCAACACCCATGTCGCCTTGAATTGGGCAAGGGACTTCGGTTTCTTCTTCGCCCCCACAAGCGGCCGAGGGTCAGAAGCAGAATCCGGGTCAGAATCCGCCATAGTCATTATAATTATGATAATCGTCAAATGAAATCCCACATTGAAAGTGAAGTGAGCCGCTCAACTGATGTCAACAGTCAACTTGTTGTGAAAATCGACCTGCGCACCACGAGGAAACAAAACAAAAAATAATCATGAAAATGTCAAACGTGTATCACGGATTGCGCCGTTGATCGACGCGTCCCAGATCTGAAAGTCGCGGCGCACTCTGGAGAGTTACGTAGATCCAGGGACCAGATTGTATACTACCAAATCTGCCGTTCTTGGTGCTACCGATTTTTTTGGATTTTCCGGGAGAATCAGGATCATTTCCGTGCTGCGGACAAATGGCTGTATTTCCGTAAAAATACGGACAAATACGGGCGGTTGGTAACACTGTCATTGATACATACTGCTTAGAGAATAAGAAGTTGAGTTTCTAGAGTGATGTGGCTGTGTGTTTGTAACTAACATGTGCAGGTCAGTCACTTCTCGGCCGAATTGTCATCTTGTATTCCAGGAAAAAAACAAATTTCAAACTCTTCACCACCGTCATCAGAACTCAAGGACTCGAGAAATGTTCACAACCCCATTTAGAACCAATGGAACGTACAGAAATAATAGCATCATAACGGTGGTAGCCATCACAACTAAATGATTACAACTACTTAGTGATACACTTTTAAAGTATTCCAGCACTCGTCTTTTTTTGTGTGTCTTGCCGTTGTGTACAGGTGAGTGATGGTGGCGTTCACAGTCATATCAACCATCTGCTGGCATTACTCGAGTGTGCCAAGCTGCACCAAGTTCCCAACACGTTTGTGCAGTTCTTCTCTGATGGCCGTGACACGCGTCCCACCAGCGGAGGTATGATAGCTATGAAATGGCTTAGGTGTGTGTGTGTGTGTGTGTATGTATGTGTGTGCGCGCGCGTGCGTGGTGTAGACCACGCGTGGTGTAGTGGTGTAGCTGTGTGGTGTAGACCAGGCTGAATAGTGGCGGTCAATTCTTCAGCCTTGCAAGCTGTTGAATGGTGCAATCCCAGCACAAGCTGCTATGGCTTCTGCTGTAGCATCGCTATCATCCCCTCCGGCGATGGGCGTCCAATGGTCCAATGGTGTGCGCGCATGTGTGCACGTATGAGTGTGAATGACTTTCCGATTTTGTTTGTTGCCTGCTCTATCATATCACTTGTAAGTTGCAACACACCCATGTCTTTTTCCCAATCATGGTGGGAAAGCCTGCCAAAGACTCTACCTGTGTAGAGTGACGGACTATTCTGCTATGCTGGGAACTAGCTTTCATTTTTGCCCTTATCTCTCATTGTGTGTATACATGCGTGCATGTATGCGTGCATGCGCGTGTGTGTGTGTGTGTGTGTGTTGGGGGGGGGGGGGGGGGCGTGTTTGTTTTCTGTTCTCTGTGCAGTGACATACCTTCAGCAGCTCTTGGATCATATTGAACGCAACGGCTATGGTGAACTTGCATCAGTCACTGGTCGCTACTATGCCATGGACCGTGACAAGCGCTTTGAGAGAATCAAGATAGCGTATGAAGGCTTGGTGAACGGCGACGGCCATGTTGTGGATAGTGCTGCTGATATCATTCCGGTATGCTGAGTACTGTCTTCAGGTCACTTGTTGGCGTTGCATAGTGGTGTCTTGCATTGACTGTACAATCCGTTTCTTGTTAGCTGTTTCAGGGCAGGTGTGTAATTCATAGTGCAGCTTATTATGACCTGTGTGCTGTCCTGTTTCCTTTGGCCCTGCTAGGAAGTGCAAGCACGCTATGCCGCTGAAGGAGACAAGAGGCAAACTGATGAGTTCATCACACCCATTCTCGTGAAGGGCCAGGGCCGCATTCAAGGTGGGTGATTGGGGGGGGGGGGGGGGGGGGGGCATCGCCCTGTGCAAATCTTTTCTGCGCCACTTTTCATGTGAGCAGGTATCAGTAGTGCATACGGGTAGCATGCAGTGCCGTGCTTGCTGGAGTACGCTATGCAACTCGTGTTTTGATGAAATATCTGACCAGTCAGGGTACATCTGGCACATCCTTATTTTTTTTAGTATGCACTCAGAATTGTCAGCCTATACTAGTCTTGTACCATCAAAGTATCCTAACAACTGGTTGCTGTGACCTTATCGACTGTTAGGTCTCATCAGCGAAGCTCAGAGTGACTGGCCAAATTCACCACAATGAAGTGTAGTGAACAACAAAGCACTTTTAAATCATCTCAAAACATCACAGGCGCTCAGGCTGAAATGAATGTAGTGAGCTTTTCACTAGGCTGCTCAGACATGTATGTACCGGTATGTGTACATTTCTTCGCTCCAGCAGACAAGAAAAAGTCGATTCCCCATCGCATTTCTTGTTTTGAACTGTTGAAATGCACAACAGCAAAGAGTGAACGACCAAGGTGTTGGAGTGAATTTTCCTGATGTGGAAATGGCTGTGTTCAAGCATGCGAATTACTAGGTGACGTGATAAATTATCCTTGTTCATGCACGCTGTTGTGTTGTTCTCCAACTTGTCGGTTCCCTTTCTTTTGTAATGCAGATGGAGACACCCTGGTTTTCATTGACTACCGTGCTGACCGTATGCGTGAGATCGTGGAAGCGCTTGGAGACAAGCCACAGTTTGAAACATCCCGTGCACCCCAGAACCTTGTAAGGGAGCCCTTTTGGTTGACCGAAGTGTGCTGTTGCCGTTTTATTGGTCTTTCACTTATTTTCCATGGTACATGTACGCGATTTGCATGTGTGCAACTGGGGGTTCGCCTTCCGTTTGATTGTCATAGGCGTACACTGCAGGTATAATGATCGTTTAGGTGTTTCATCATCGCGCCTGTGTTCCTTGATTCTTTTGCAGCAAGTAACAACAATGACACAGTACAAAGAAGGATGGACGTACAAGACACTTTTCCCACCGCAGCAGCCAATCAACACGCTTGCCGAGTGGCTGGGCAAGAAAAGCAGACAGCAGTTCCACTGTGCAGGTATGATTCAGGATTTTCTTTACCCAATACAGAGGGGGGGGGGGGGGGTCTTTCATTCAGTCGCCGCTCGTTGATGTTGAAGGACCATGTTGTAATCAAGTTACCACACATTGCAATCATCCAATGCCTACATGTACAGCAGGCATTGACACTGATTTGTTTGAGAACTCAACTAGAAATGCCAAGGGGGTTCGCTGCTGGACTGTGCCTCATTATCCGCTTCACTGAAAAATAGTTGTTCCCTAGTTGTCTCCTTGAAAGGAATCGAGGCGCCCACCACTGGGCACACCCCCAGCCTGAAAATGAGGGTCAATTTTCCTGCAAACAGACAGTGACGGCAAAGAGCTTATCCCTCTCGAACTTTTTTGGATATTCTTCACAGCTCTCCAAGCTTCAAAGTGGTAGAAACTGGGGAGTTGCTCTCGGTTGTGATCTGCATTCTACACATGTGGATAGGATACATGTGTGAGTGTGCAAGTGCGAAGAACCCCCTCCTGTGTACATCCTCATGTCTATCAATGTTGCTCGCTGCCAGTCTGGCGCTTTACACTTGAGAGATCTTAGAGATCTGTCCTTTTATTCTTTCAGTTCCTTCAACTTCCAAGGTTAACTTCTCCAAAGAACCGGCAGAGAATAAGAGCGCACCTTAGAAAATACTGAAGTATCATTGTACGTTCATTGCATTTGTTTTACCGGCATACGAGTGTAGTACCAGACGTTTGACCTGTGACTTTGTACTTGTAATGTACTTTTGCTTTTTGCTGGTCTGTTCATTTTGCTGCAGAGACGGAGAAGTACGCTCACGTGACATTTTTCTTCAATGGCGGCCGTGAAGCTGCTTTTGAAGGTGAAGAGCGCTGCATGGTTCCTTCGCCTAAGGTGGCAACGTATGACCTGCAGCCGGAAATGAATGCAGCTGGTGTTGCGGAAAAGGTACTGTGATACAAGAACCCATACCCCCAAGTGTACTCATATCTACAAATTGTACATGTGGGGTTCGGTGTGGCGCACTGCCCACGTTACGTAACCGCAAGCTGCGGAATCAGCTTGACCATGGTGTCATTATCGGTTTACTACACTGTGTAGCTTCCAATTGCATTTTCTTTGAAGGCTTCGCACGGTTTTGTGTGTGTGTGGTACTTCACGTCGTGCAGGCATTGCCTTGGAATCTATCATATCTAATGTCGTATCCTTACAGAATTGCTACTCGTCAGTCAAAAGCCCAATCTATAGCCAACCTGATTATCATTTCACTACGTAATGAAGCCAGCACATTGCCCAGTGCTCGCATAGCTAGAAGAAATTGCATTCTCTTGGGTGGTTCTGATTTTTGATGAGCTGGTGATGTTTCTTTGCCTCTGTCTTGGTGTTGCGGGTGGATGTAGCAATTTAGTGTCTGTATGCTCCTGCCACTTTGTTGATGTATCTCCCATTTCCTGTGTGTGTTTTGGGTATGTTTTAGCCTGTTCTAAACCGCATTGTTTCTTGTTCTGTGTAGGTTGCCGAAGCGGTCCGCAGCGGGCGCTATCCACTGACCATGTGTAACTTTGCACCACCTGACATGGTGGGACACACTGGAAAGTACGAGCCAACCATTGTTGCATGCGAGGCAACAGGTAGGTTCACGCATCTGCTATAACTCTACTGTACTGCTTATTGCTACTGTCTAGCTCATGAACGATGGGAAATTGGGAATATTTTAAATGGAATATCACGGACTACAGTATCAGGGAGAGATATTAGAGAGGTTCTGGGGTACGATTTTCCGTGCCAAAATCCGTGTGGGCGCTACGGATTTTTTCCAGGCGAGCTCCATACGATTTTTCGGCACGGAGAATCCGTGTGGACTGGCTTTCACACGAACCATGTTTCGTATGGAGATTTTGCGTCATCGGGTGCAGAAAGATTTTTCGCGTACAAATTTGGTACGAGAAACATGGGTTTTCCGCGGGAAGTTTTGATTTCGGTACAAATTTTCAAAATAAAAAGGCATAGCGCGGGAATGTGACGTGTTTGCGATCGTAACCTAGGCAATGACGGCAAACACATAAGTTCCGTACCCCGGAACATTTCACTGCTCGAAAACGACGTATAAAAAATCCGTAGCGCCTCTACGGATTTTGGCACGAAAAATCGTACTCCGGAACCTCCCCATTTCTATTTTCTTCCCTAAGTCTGCGATCCCACCAAGGTAATTCAGCCAGAAAAATCTGGCGCTTCCACAGAAACAGCTGAATTTTAGGCTCTCAGCTATCAGCCGTTTTGAAACTCTGAATCGCTTGTGCTGAATGCACTCATCCATTTCCATGGCTGCTAGTATCGTATTATAGTGCAGGAAAGTGCTTCATCACAGCCAGTAGGAGTCATACTAGCGCTGACTTTTGGATCCACTTGGGGCCAGTTTTTGTGTGGATCCGTACACGTTTGCTGCGGTTTCCTTCCCCTGATGAATGTCTCTAGAAAACTTGTTAGGAAATTTTACTATCCATCTTTTATTTTTGTTGATTACTACGTCCAATGTCCGCTTCGCTGATTCTGCTGATTGCCATATTGAAATCTTTTATTCTCACATTTGTTGTTGTTTCAAATCTTTATTCTCACGTCGTTGTTGTTGTTGTTGTTGTTGTTGTTGTTGTTTTTGTTGTGGTGGTGGTGGTGGTGGTGGTGGTGGTGGTGGTGGTGGTGGTGGTGGTGGTGGTGGTGGTTGTCATCGTTATCGATCTTCCACATGCAGACAGAGGCATAGGCCTTATCCTTCAGGCATGCCAGGAAAGCAACTGCACACTAATGGTCACCGCTGACCATGGCAACGCAGAGAAAATGTTCAGCGAGCAAGGTGGACCCCATACCGCACACACAACGTACCGAGGTAAGTGTTGCGACGCTGTACATGTACATCTTGCCGTCCGCTAGGTATGGTAGTGATACTGGCATGTTCTCCTTATTGGACATGTTGCCTCATTTTGTAAATGTGACTGGAGGACCGTGTGATTCATGGGGTTTTTCACCTCATCAACCCGTGTGTGAGTAGTGCGTACGAATTGTCTGGTCACACAACTAGGGCTGAAACGAATGCTCAAATGAAGCGAACGAATATTCTCTTTCCGAATACGTGTGAAACGAAGAATATTCCGAATATTCTAAACCATACAATATCCATGGATACCTAGTTGTATCCATGGTAACCATAGATCATCAACTGGTGTATACCCCAATTACAGGAGGGACATTTAAAAAGGATATTAGAGAGGTTCCGCATAACGTAATTACGTTCGTAAAAAACGTAGTTGATCTACGGAAAGTCTTACGTAAACTGCATGCGCATCTGTGTTCCGCCATACGGAGTCTTCAAATCACGTAGCTGCCCTTGGCAACTCCGAACGCGGCAGTGTACGACCAGATCGACCTGGGGAGAGAGTCATAAATTTGTACCCCAATCCACTTACGGACCAGCTACGTTATCAGAGCCCTATCTACGTACTCTACGTAGACAACTTTCCGTAAGTGGAGTGCAAACTCGCGAATTCACGGGTTTTCCCCGCCCACTAACGTAAAGTTGCTCAACTTTACGTAGTGCGGAACCTCTCTACAATAATGTTATCATTTGTCTTGCTGATGGCAACACATGGAAGGTGGCAATCTCACCCACTTTCTGCACCGAATAAACCTGTTCGATATCAAAAAGGCGATTTTCTGTACATTTACGAACATTCTTATTCTACTCTAACGAAGAATATTCTTTTTCCGATCTGCACACTTCGAATATTCCTTTCAGCCCTACACACAACCCGATAAAATTGGTATTATAATTCACGCTTCTCATCCTTTTCAAGCTCCAAAGAGTTTGGTTATCAATACTTACAAAAGTACCCCCCCCCCCCCCCCCCTAAGAGTGTGCAACTCTGCATATGGGGTCTCCGACGGCGAAAACTCACATCACGTGTCTCAGGTACGTTTTGTACTATGTACAAACGAAGGATAGCGTGCGCGCAATCCGAACATCTGCCATGATCATGCTGGGGATTTGCATACGGGCAGTGAGTTTCTGTCAGAGAGTGCTTTTTTATTTATTACTCCACTGCTCGCTAAAACGGGCTGGAAACGACTGCGACACGTACAACTGCGACACCACACCACGTGATGTGAGTTTTCGCCGTCGGCGTACCCCATAGAAAGGGTATCAGGAGTTGCACACTCTTGGGGGGTTATATACTATTGATACTTACCATACTTTGGCTTTGGGCCTGTCTGAGTGCCCTGACCACAAGGTTGTCTGTTGTACGATATACTTCAACATGCAAATGTTAGTTTCTTCTTTATCATCTGCTTAAATGCTGCATTGTGTCATGTGTCTTCTGCATATAGTTCCGCTGTGCATCAGCGGCCCCAAGCAACTGCGTGAACTCAAGCACAACGCATCGCTGCAGGATGTTGCGCCCACTGTTCTGCAGCTACTTGGCCTCGAGATCCCACCCGAAATGACCGGACAGCCTCTTTTAGACATGTAAGATGGTGTTGTTATTTGCCTGGACTACTAACGCAGGCCTTCAAGAGATTTTTTCTCTGTGATGCTGTTTATGATTTCTGAAGTACATGTATATTGTACCTGGCCTAACTCGGGTTCTGTTTGATTATATTTCGGCTGGTCTACTTTCCTACCTCAGCTTAGCTATTATGCTCACCCTCATTTGAATTGTAGTGGGTTTGTAGTTCACCTTATCGTCACCTTGTGACAAAGTATTTTTAACAATATGGTTTCTACTTCACAGTCTATGCATTATTTATTAGGCCCTTATGCAATCTGATATTCAACGGTTTCAAATCGTTCCTTTACTTCCATGCTCTCTTTGCTGACGTTCTGCACTGGTTACACTCATCGTGGCCAGTACATATTTGTAGTACATGTACAAGCATTGATACTTGTAACCGGCAAATGACTCTGGAAGTCGTGTACTAGAATTGCTATTCCGCTGTGAAGATTCAGTGTCCTCTTCACAGTTGGAAGTTGGGACAGTACAGTACGCTGACATGTTTGGTTGGCTGACATCAGGTGCATATGGTGGTACAATTTTGACCGTGCAGTCACAGCTCAGTATTATCTCGCTTATCCTCCCTCTTCTGGACAGGCATCCACAGAAAAACATGTGGATACTAGTAAGTGAAATCCATCCTTCGCTACATGCACACAGGCGTGGCAGCATAACTTTCAGCGCAGAAAATATCGTCCGTGTTTCTTTCAATAGAACATGTTCATGAGCAAATTACGGATCAGTGAACATGTGTAGTACGGTAGGGGTAGTGCCAATCACCCCACGTATCGGTTCTGTACATGTACAAGACGGAGATAGGTTCCCATGGCTTGGCAAGCCAACCTCACATCACACTCCACTGAGATATCTGCATCGCGTTTTCATGTTGTTGCACTAGTCTAGAGTAACATGTTGCGGTCTGTCCATGTCTGTGTCAAGGTTTGAGTAGAAAATGTAAAGTAAGTTGGGTTTGGACTTTGGAACAATGGCCTTATACAGAAAATGTGATATTGTCAGCACAATCTGGCAGCCAGGAATAACAAGCCCTTGTTCTGAATGATAAGTATCCGTTTTACTACTTCTGGAGGGCCCTTCAAATAAAAAAGAGAAGGGGCAGGAGTCATGAATTTTTTTCTTGACACACTTGAAGTATGCAGTTTTACATGTGCTGCATCAACTCAATGCACAGGACAATTATAGTAATGAATACTAATGATCCAAGTGTCATGTGCTGCAATGCTTGATATTGACTTCCATGTGCTGTTTTACATGACTGGCACCCCTATTTTACCTGTCCTGTAGCCCTGCATAACTGCTGCTGTATGCTGAAGTTGAAGATTGCACAGGGACTGCTTGCAGTCTGATGTGGAATCTGTGATACTCGAATAATAGAGGTGGAGAGTTTGAGCTACTGACCGTCCAACAAAGTAACATACATGTACAATCATGGCCAGTAGTAGTAGTAGGTAATGCAAGCCTTGCCTTGTTCACGCTGTCAACAAAAAATAAATAAAATACGGAAGTTGCTGATCAGTAATGATTTTCAACTTGTTGTACAGGTACTAGTTCTTCCATCCTCTCAGACTCTTGACTCTGAGACTGAGAGCTGCATGGCCCATGATGACTGCATGCTGGGCCACAGGCACAGTTACCTGGACACATGCGGGAGTGCTCCCCGGCATTGACTTCACACAGCTGGCTGGCTTGACCACTGGACACAGCAGTACAGAAGGCAAGGAGACACAGTACTGTGGTATACTATGGTATGTGGCAGTAATGTATTATTCTATTCTCTATTTATCCCTTGTAAATAATAATAGTACATACTTGATTACTGGCTATCCCATGTGTAGAACATGACATACATGTAGTCATAAATCATTGACTGTGATGGGGAGGGGGTTGGGGTGTTTGGCCCGGCTCCAGCAAACACATCTTTAGTTCTACTGCAATGGATTGATTACAGGTAGTTTCACTGAACAACTACAACAAAATATACTGCAGACGTAATGAGTACTAATGACGCATGTCTGTAAAACGAAATGAACACCTGCCATTTCCCCACGGTCTCTGCAACTGATCAGTGTAGACTGGCCTCAGTCTGTGGCAGTTGTTCACCACACTCTTCATTTTATACTTCGAACATTTTCGAAGCAGTCACATAGTTCTACATTGCAGTACACATATAATTTTATGCAGAACCATGTGGCTACATAACAGTTACTTGTATTGTCCTGTGGCTGACCAGTTCAGTTTCTCAAGACATATTGACTGGTGAGCTACATTCTTCTTCTCCGGCTATACGGTATACTGCATGTCCGGCAATCCAATAACGGCTTCATGAATTTACGACACTCAAGGGCATGTGCATCTGCCTCCATCTGATAGTTCTTGTCACAGTACAGTGCAGCATTGCTGCTTTCCCCAGTGAAGCACCACTGGTCACAACAGGGTACATGTAGATGTATGATGTACTGGCAAGTGCCCACAACCGTATGGACATCATGCTGCTCCTCATCCTACTACAGGTACTCATGCATCAAGGAGCCACAGGTGGGAGAACTCCTACAGCACCTGTTGAGCTCATGCCATGGAATGTACTACAACTTTACAAGTCATGCACACCATGTATGATGATGTACCGCGTACCGGTAGATCTCTGGCCAGAGGTAGTACTGTATTATTATCCAAGTACAGTAGCAGTCAAAAACTGCAGGGCTCTCCATTTAATTGCAAGATTGTACTTTATATCCCATTGACATTGTATCCTATGAAACTTGCTTTGCATAATATGGTGTCATGTGTGTCATCAATCATTTTGTCCTAAATGTGGCAGACTGTGTGCCAGATACATGTACTGAATAATAATAATAATAAAATAATATTCGCGGGATCCGCGTCGGCATCGCTTGAATGTTCAGAAACACACAAACTAGCCTTCGCATCCGCAGGCCACCACTATGCCTGTTCACCTTACTGAATAATACTACAAAAAAAGTACACAATATTCTTGTGAAAATGGACCCAAGAATCCAGAAAAATAACACTGCATTACTGTACCCACAAAGTATGTGCTTCAAGTCCCTGCAGCGTCAGAATGCACAGGGGGATGGACAACACATTTCACGGAAGAGGGGAGGAACTAGGTTTGTTGAGCTGCGCACAGAATCCTTCCCTTGTATTGAGGGAATAACCAAACAGCACGGACTCGGCAGAGGACTATCGGCACAATCAAGACTCAAGAGTACATAAGCTGGAAGCGTATTAATTTACTCTTGGTACCAAGAGTATATTTTTATACTCTTGTTGGTACTTGTAGTACTGGACAGAGGCAGTCAATACTTGGGAGACATCACTCGCGTTTTGCACACACGGCAGACAAAAGCTGGTACTTTGGTTGCACCTGGGCATTTGCTCAGTCAATAATGATTCATGAGACAACGGCCAAAAGAACGGCACGCAAAGACCTAATTGTAATCCGTAGGAGAAAGCCTAAAATGTAACGTGACACTTGCCATACATGACATGACTCTACAGACACAAAACAAACGAATTAAGATGAGAGAAAAATGCGAGAATGCGCATAGTAATAGATCATTGTGAATAATGAGTCAACGATAAAAGATTGCTAAAAACGTCTACCTACAACTTGTTTTCCATGACAAGATGTATTTCTGGATGTGTAAAAAATCAAATATCTGCACGATTTATATTATTATTTTTTTTAAACCCAGGCATGCTACTTGTTTATCAAACAGAACAGAATCGAGTGAGTACCCAGTTACGTGTAAAGTCAATGTCATACTTCAACAACACACAACCAGTGTCTCTTGCACTGGATAGGGACATGTAGAAGTTGTAGGAAGCTCAGGGGCCCGTCTGCGAAAACAGGCAGAAAAGACAGATAACGTTGCTACATGAACAGCACGAGACACGCGGCAAACTAGAGAGAAGGCACCAGTGAGTAAGATACCATGAGCTGCGCTTCTTTGCCCGACACCTCGTGACACCTTCACATGAAACATAACACAGCCCGCAGTGGCGTGTGAAGTGCCACGCAGGAAAGACTGGATAGAACAATGGCACATGCCTGAGCGTGCATGGAAGCAGCAGGAGAAAGAAACGTGCTCTCAAGTCACCATATTGGGGACACCAGGGAGGGGACACACACAGTCATGTCCCATCAGCAACTTCCATGAGAGAGAGAGAGACAGAGAGAGAGAGAGTAGCAAACTCCTCCTCTACAGACTGGAAGAGATGTAACAGCCTCCATCGCGTAAACTCAACACTCCTACTTAGTACAGTGGTGAAGTCCTCAATCGAGTAACTGCACGTTGCAGAGATAACGTGCTGTCGTGATCAATGGTAAAAGGCGCATCAATATTCTATCAGTTGCGTATGTCCACATCTAAAAACATCAACTCCAGAGACTATTGGACGGAGCAGTTTTTACGCCAGCTCATCTATTTCCTCTGGTGCCACGTCCGGGATGCAGGATCGTTCCTTGAGGAACGCAACCAGTACATCGGGTGTGATGCCACTTTCATCATGACCCAACTCATTGCCGACTGCAATGAAATTGCCAACAAGGTCACCCTTGCGATAGACAAGCAGTGCAGGTAAACCTTTGCTAGCGAAAGCTTCGCTCACGCCTGCAGCCAAGGCCAAGATTTTGCAGAACTTAACCATTGGATACTGCTGAGCCACGATCTTCAAGCATTTGTTAATTTTGTTAGACAGTGCCATGAAGCTGTCATAGATGTGGACAACAACAAACACTGAGTCGGGCTCGCTGTCAATCGCTTCGGTGTAAGCGCGGCTGGTTAGGTGGATGAGATTTCCGTAGACTTTCTCAAACTTTGGTCTGCTCGCCATTCGTTGCATGTCCCGTAATCTCTTCTCTCGATATTTGGCCATGAATTCATCATCGTCCGCCTCGGGGTCGATAGGCCGAGGCACAACCTGCTGTCTTGCAGCGTCCTCCAATCGTTCCAAACGCTCTTGACGCTCTTCAGCCAGCTCCCGCAAATGCCTCTCCCTGTCCTGCAGTACACCCTTCGGACCCGTCATAAATTTGCCGTCTCCCTTCGGTTGTGGACGAGACACCTCACTAGGTGCCTGGACCAGATTATCCACTGGTTCTTCATCAGAATCAGGCTCCCTAACCCTGCCATCCAAGGCTCTCTCGATGGAAGCCATCTTTTCGCTTGAGCACACTTGGTCCACAGCCTGTCAGCAGAGCGATAAAATCCCAGGACTCACCAAACCGAAGCTGAGCAGTAAAGGCGGGGGATCTAGAGATCGAAATAAGACTGAAATAATTCAAACAAAACAAGAACGACCTCGACCTCTCAAGTCTGGATGAGTATCGTAGATATCGCCGCCAAGGCTGTTCAAAGTCTTTTCTTGTTTTCTTTTCCACTCGTTCAAAGTGTGCAGTTCTCATGTTCGTGATAAGATCACTGATCGATCAAGGGCAAGCGCGCGTGTACTCGTACAGCGCGCGAGCAACCGACGACGATCGCTATGTACATGTCATATGTGCGAGCTAGCTCCAGTAAGCGCTCAGCCGGCCACTGGCGCGGCTATGGCGCTATCGCTAGCTCTAGCGCTAGCGGGTCCGGGTGCTCACGGCCTCCAGCTCCCGATCCCGGGCGCATGCATGCTCGCGCGCCCGGTAGAGTCCACGCCGCGTACCGTGCACCGACGCTAGCTGGTGGCCGCCGCGCCGGTGCCGCAACAAAAAAATACAAAGGGCAAGCTTCAAATTTTTCTAGTGCTTCAAATTAATATTTTGTGTCGTTTTTTTGCACATGATGAGCTGACGAAACATGCTGCAGTGAAATATCCTGAGCTGTATGAAACCCAGCAACAAGGAACATCGTTGATGAGTCTTGTTCAAGGAATGCTGCCTTCATAATCCACCTTAGCTGTAGCCGTACTGGCTGATGGCTATTCGCTGACGTGTGAGTGGCTCATAGTGTTCAGTAGTAGTAGTCTTTGATTCTCAGCAAAGTAACTGAGGGGTTGGGTGATCACTTCTGCTGTGCTTGATTTTCGGTTCCTCAGAGGCGTAACCTCTCGCTATCGATATCTTTTTTATTCAGTTCTAACCGCTGTATTGTACCTTGTGATAAATTCATCATGGCTGAGTGTGGCATGCCATCGTACGCCTCCTTGGGCGACGCAGCAAATAAAGTTCTGGCTGACGGAGTGGACTATGATCGGGCTAAAGTCGATTTCAAGTACACAGGATGTGACAAGAACTTCTCAGTGCACTCAGGATGTGCTATAGCCACAGACTCAACATTGGCATCACATTGCATACAAGTTAGTCACCCTGCTGTGGAGATCGGAGATGGGAAGAGCTTTTCCTACTCACACGGCTACAACTCTGATGAGAATGCCATGATGCGAAAGTTCTGCTTTGAAACGGGCGGCGTGCGTGGCATGCGGCTAAAGGCTGACTTGTCAACACATGAACTGTTCAAAATAGACAGATTTCGACTTCTTGGCTCAGCACAGCATACGAAATTCCATGGCACAGCCGGTGTGGATGTTGAAGTGGACCGTCAATGCAGTGGTGTTAGCGGCTCGACATCTTTCAGGCTAGGTCCGTGTCTGGCTGGCTGCCAATTCTCGTATGACCTGCCATCAAGGTCTTTTCCTGATCGTCAGATTGGTGTGTCCTACTCGGAGAAGGACTTCACAGCTAGTGGTTCGCTGCATACGGGTACAGATTTCCGTGGATATCGCATGTCACTGCACCAGAGAGTTTCAGAGCGCTTACAATGTGCTGCTCAGGTTGTCTGGGCCGCTGGTAGTTCATCAGCATCGTTCGCACTGGGCGCGGAGGGTACGCTTGACGATGAGTCCTCACTCAAAGTCAAATTCAACAACCAAAGTGACTTGGGAGTGACATACAAGCGCCGCCTGGAGCCTGGTGTGACCTTGTCCGCAGGTGTGCTGTTCGGCTTACAAAGCCTCAGCCTCCCATCCATTCAACACTTTGGTGTAGGATTGACGTTTGAAGCTGAGGGCACTCCTCCATTCCTGCTGTCGCTGCTGAAGGGCCGCCTCTAGGGGCCGACTTTTCCTAAGAACTTCCCCAGCGGTGATCATATTCGACTGTCCAAGTGAGTTTTTGACCGGTGCAAGTTTGACTGTCCATGACTTGCAGGGCGGTAGATATTCTCGACAATTAACCACTTTTTTTAGCAACCGTTTATTAGGCCATCTTTTGTCTATTCTAGCGTCTTGTTCTAATTTCCTACAGTAGATGTTCTTGTTGTTGTCCTATGTGATCAAAGTGTATGTAGCTATTGTTGGTCTCTTCCTTGATTTTATTTTGGGTCTTTCCACCCCCCCCCCCCCCCTTAAGTTATTGGTTTTCTTTTTGTCTTGTCCACACCTGCCTGGGTCTGGTGTGTCCAGCTTCTGTTAACTTTCCTGCAGTTCTTATATTATTTATCATTTGTTAGTTACTAACTAGTAGTCTTGTATCGGACTGAGACACTGCAGCTTGATGGTTTTGGATTCTGGTTCACCAGTGTAGGTGATTTGCACATGCCGCCCGTTGATTGTCGTCCGAAAACGAGGTATTGTGCATGTACATAATAATGCTGCGTGTGTGCATGCGTCTGTGTATGTGGGTGTGGTGCGCATGCCACGTGTGCTGGGAGGAGCAGATGCAAGTGATGTCGCGGTGAAATCCGGGGGGGGGGGGAGCGCACTTTACAATGTACATGACTTGTACAAGCAAGAGTACATAACCCCAAGAGTGTGCAACTCCAGCTATGGGGTCTGCGACGGCAGAACTTCACATCACGTGATGAACCCGTGCACTCTGTGCATGATAGATACTGGGTTGTACGCAGCCCAGCTTTGGGTACAACTCTCTTGTGGTCACTTTGCACTGTTTGCCAGCATAACCTTTTGAACCATGTCACGTGATGTGAAGTTCTGCCGTCGCAGCACAGCATAGAGGTGCAGGCAGTTGCACACTCTTGGGGTTATGTACTCTTGCTTGTACTCTTGCTAAGGGGAAACAGAGGTTAACTGTATCTTGAGTGGTGCAACTGATCAAAAAGAGACAACTCATGGTAATGGACACGTACAGAATGTTTCAATCAGCATCAGTATATTAAAGGTATTATTTGGTTACGCAATAGTCATTTGATCTCAGATACATGTATACTGGATGCGTGTGTCAGTGAACCTTCAGGTTGACATATCCAAACTTACTCAGGACCTCAAAGACCTATAGTTGACAAGCTCTACAATCTTCCTTTTCAGATATGACTGCTGCACAAGGAAGATCTCATACATGTGGAGAGAGAGAGAGAGAAGTTTGTACTGTAGATGTCTTTTGTACATACACAATGATAGTGATTGGGTACGAAAAGCAGCAAGTACAGCTGCATGTGGCGTGGTGAAATCCTGTTCGAATGATGCCGCACCTGTACGAGTACTGTACACTCTCAGCATTGAAGGCAGTGTCGCTTCGCACGCATATTATTATATACACGACATACCGGTACTGGTTTGGCGTACATTGGTCCGGATTTCACTTGCGCCACAACTCCACTCGGTAACATTTACTCAGAAAGGTCAATGCAGCAACAATCACCCCTGCAATAAAAATTGAGTGAAGATTTCACGAGGCTGATTTCAATTACCATGGCTATAGCCGAGAGCAAGAGTACATACCGGTAGTTATGTACTCTTACCGAGAGTCACCTACAGCACCAGTCACGACAGTGCAACATAAAATTTTAATATACGGATATTCACGTACACAGGTCAATCAGAGTTATTGAATTGAACAACGCTGGGTCAACTTTTCACTTTTCAAAGTTCTTTCTTGTGACCTTCCCGTGAACGGTGGCACATATCTGAGCAAGGCTTTTAAACTAAGATGGCACGAGCAACAATTGAAAAAAAACCCAAACAAACACTGAGAGTATGGGTGCAAGTAAACAGCAGGGTATGGCTAGTTCTAACTAATGACAGAAGAGTAAGCCGTACGACCAACATCTTGCGAATCATGTATGACGTCACTGACACCGTAGAAGAAAATGAAAACAGAATTTGAATACCACTGCCCGCAGTAAGGAAAGGTTTATTCTAGAAAAGCTCAACGCACATAGGATAGATACTTAAAAAAAATCAATGCTATTCGCATCTTGACTTATTTAAAATTAGGACTCGGTATTAGTCAATGGGGGAGGGGGATTAAAGACTTAGAAATATGCAGAACAGGATGGGATTAGTACGTCCCAAATACACGGCGCAATCGGGCTACCACATGAACATCAAGCCAGGCCTCGCTGACAACATAACAGAGGAAAAGCAGACTGAATGACAATTGATGATGGAACCTGCCATGATAACATTTTTTTCTAAAACACACACAAAACATAAGGGTGGTGTCACGAGACGGTTAGCAGCTTGACATTACCGCCGACATACCAGACAAGGAGTGGTGCAAGACAGTGCATTTCAACCTTGTGCCCAGAAGCCAAAAATATAAATATTGCAGTATAGTATCAAAGGGACACTGGCCCGGTGTCTAAGAACAATAAAACACGCAGAAACCTGCTACATCACCTGCCAATTACCAACTGATCTCATCATGCCAACCAAAATTAGACACTCCGGACCAGCATGTCAACAGAATGATTCCAAAGGCAGTGTGTTCACAGAGACCGTATTAAACTCAGTTGTGGCCCGCTTCTATGTACATCCATTGAACAGGTTCCAGAAGGAGAACTGCCGTAGTCAAGGCTGCTCCGTATCAACAGTAACCTCATACTGATAGACCTACACGTCCAACTTGAAACAAAACTGGCACTTCGCTGAGTAGTGAGTTACCGTAATTATCACGCAAGTAGACTGGTGCAAGCTCCACAGCCCAGCACCTACTTGCTGCCCAAATAATTATCATCAACAATACCACTAATGACGAGCAGGTTCAACTGTCAGTGATTTCGGGAGACGAAACAGAACTAGCCAGTACTAGGCCGTATACAAGATTGCCGGGGTTGCTGGGTAGAGTTGCTGGGTGGAGTTGCAGGGAACATCGCTGGAGGCTACAAACAGCCTGGTAATGATGGTACAAATTCATTTTCTTCGCTCTTGGCTTGCTAAGCAATGGCTTCATCTGCTTCCACAGCGTCTGGCTCGCCGGACGCAACCTCTCCTGCTCCAGGTTCATCTGCCACATCCTTCTCTCCAGGGCCAACTGATTCCATTTCTGCTGAGCGCTCTTCCTCCACATCCTGTGATGAAGTGCTTTCTGACACTATCTCTGCTGGCTTATCGATTACTGAAGTAGCAGAGGACCCATTAGATTCGACCTCTGCTGCAGAATGCTGGTCTAATGCCACCACCTCCGCAGAGGACTCTGCTTGGTTGGTGGTGTGATGGGCAGATTTCACATCACCATTCGGGTACGCATCTGTTCCGCTGTTGTCGGATGAAGAAATGACAGAGGATTCATCGGAATTGTCCTCGGCTGATCCTAAGACAATGTAAAGGAACAGGAGACAGGCAGGAGGAAAATGTGATCGTACGCTCCAGGAATGAGCATTGCTCACCAGTTACAGGCTTCCAGCCCCCCCCCCCCTCCCCTCTTTGGCACTACATGGTTACGACAGTGCCAGCAAACCTGCAATGCAGCTGCACATCTTGGGACATAGTCGGTTCAGTCCTACAACCCTGATCCACATGCATCCGGAAATTGCCACGTATTCCCCTGACTCTTGCGAGATCACAGAAACACACAAAGGTGAGCAAAGGTGACTGATCAAACACCAACAACCCATGCACTGCAATGAGGAAGCTGCTATCCCCCCCCCCCCCCCGCCCCGCCCCCCCCCCTGACTAGTTTCTCCGAAGGCCAAACTAAAGTAAGCAAGCCTGTGCACCACAGACTCCGGGAATCACAACATTCGAGACAACATTCCCTTACCAGAATTGGGAGTTTCCTGAGCTGCATCATCCTTCAGATCCAGCTCTTCAAGTGCTGCTTCAAAGTCACAGCTGAAGTTCATCGAATCTGACCAATGCAGAAAAAAGAGAGATCAAAGCTGCAGCGAAGGACCTAAGGACAACTAGGGGCATTTCCGCAGATGCGATCTACTACAAGATCCGCTTTGAATTATTCAAGCAAGCATACAACCTGCCCATGGTCTTGTATGTCCAGTGCAGTGTCGATAGCGATAGTGAACACACAGAAACGCTTAAAGCAAGTGTGGTGCAGTGTCGATAGTGAACACACAGAAACGCTTAAAGCAAGTGTGGTCAGTGGCTTCGAAAATAAACTCAAAGACACCTGTAATTATCAGAAAGCAACAGCATAGTTATAGTACACTGGCCTCATACCATCGGCAATGGGTGACTTTAGCGCTGCGCGTTCATCATCTTCGTCACCCTGCTCGCTAATCTCAAGAACATCATCCTCTTCGTCCTCAATGCGTGGCGCTTTCAGTGCTAAGCCCTCGGCACCTGGCTCTGCAAAGTCAATAGCAACATCATCGGCTAGTTCTGGGTCAGGCATGTCTTCATCCCCGCCAGCAGAACCATTCGCTGATAGAAGATTGCTGGCGATCTCAGTACTGGCCTCACCAACAGCCGGCATTGCCACGCTGGAAGCAGTTACTCCATTGCCGGTAGCGTCATCTTTAAAAACATTATCATCACCATCTACAGCGTCTATGCTTTGAGTTGCGACCTCCGTGGAGTTGGCCTCTGCTAGCGCTTCTGCCTCGCTGGATTCATGCTCATCTTCTCCTGATGTAGCTGTACTTTCAGAGCTCTCCGCCGCTGCTGTCTCTGACTCCGCTTGCAATCTGGCCTCCTGCTCAGCGTCCAGCTGGCGCTTTGCAGCAAGCTGTTGATTACGAAAAGAGTATTCTTCAAGAGATGACGTCAGATCTTTCAAGATCTCCTGGTCACGCTGTGAAAACGTCACAAGAAAAGACAATACTAGTTTGCACGAGTGGGCAAAATTTTAACAACGGATACTGAGCGAACCTTCGTAAGGTTCAAGCCAAACAAAAAAGAAGCTGTCCAGCCTGGTGCCGGTTATTGATTCACGACTTGGGAAAATATCATTAAATATGTCATATAAAACCAGTGTGCTGCTCTCGGTTTCTATCTGTGTATCTCTGTCTCTCATCCTCTCTGTCTCTTTCTCTGCCTCTCTCAGTTTATCTCTCCCTCTCTCACTGCTAGCAGTAGGCACTTTCGGTGAGGGATTTCACACACAGTTGCGCTCAATGAAAGCTGAGCTCATGAATATCCATGGTAAAATAGTGCCCTGCACCCGTGCACAACCCAGTGTTTGCAGGTCCGGGGTTGCCCAGCGCCTGGTGCTAGCTGACTCATGGTGCCTGGATTTCACTGAACAGCACTGACGTTTTCAAATTCCCATCCACAACTAGCTAAGCGGCAGCCCAACAGCTTATTCTGGCTTTCACAAACTGCTACAATTCACCTTGAAGTCGTACAAAGCATAACTTTTTGATTGTGGCAGCCAATAATACATCTTCTCTCATGTGGTATGACACATACCTGATCGCATTTGATGTTTGTGTCAACATCAAGTTTTATCAGGCTATTGCTAAGCTTGTGTGCCCTAGCCAGCGCAAGAAGACCACCAATACGGATGTTGTTTCGACGCACATTGACTGTCTCCAGCACAGGGCTCTCTCCGATGTACTCGGCAAGTGCAATTGTTCCTGTACAGAAAACAACGTGAAGGCAGGGGACATCGTTGGCATATCTGTGTCGCTGGGCGATAAACACCAATCATTCTTACAGGTGTTCGCGAGTCTGGATTATTACTTGGGTATCCACAACACACGGGTGAATGGATTGTACGGTATTGATTACTGTAAAGTGAGAAACTTTCGCTAGAGATTAAATTTCTCTATTTTCGGGACCACCACACATTCGCGAATATAAATCACCGCAAACCTCTCCGTACATTTGATTGTAGACAGTACAAGATCCGACTGAAGAGATAGAATCGCAAAAGTTTCTCATCGTGAACCAGCCCAATTTATGACAACGCTACTTGAATTTGCGCGCTGCGAAAGTTTGTCGCTTTGCAGTATACGCGCATTGCCATCCCTGCTATGTGCACACTTGAGTGTTTACTGAATACACATTTTCTAAAATCCTACCTGTAGTGGTGAGGCCTAGCTCCATGATGCCCAGTCGCTGAATCGAGCGGTTGCGCATCAAGCCCAGCTTCAGGCCCTCCATACCATCGTTGCCTAGGCGATTGCGGCCAACTTCAAGCGTGTGCAGGCTACGGTGAAGAGCCTACACCGCAGCAGGCAGAAGGCACGAAACAGGCATCGGAACAGGACCCCGCAGTGAGCAACTTGACAACTATGTTTGTAATGGCTAGACATTACCACACTAAAACGCCTGGCATGCTATAGTATCTCTGTGAGGATGGGTTCATCAGCACACATGGAAGGATAGCATTTGTTGTAGGTACTGAAAACGAAAACATCGTTGAATCCAGACCCAGATCCTCATGCCACAAAACAGACACCGAGTTGTACGCTAAAGAATTGTCTATAATATGACAGAGGTAGAGAACAATAGACCTACATGTACATCATAGTCACAGCCTAACTAAGAAGTAAGAACACACATTCTTCAAAAGAAAGGATATGCTTCAACTGTCCGTAGTACATTTCCATTTGAAGCCTAAGCTAAGACTGTTAAGTAGGCGGGACGGGGTCTACGGCTAGAAAAGACAGCAATATAGTCAGCCGGGCTCAACATGTCCGCCATCCTTCTTTTACCCTTCTACCTTATATAGGGCAAACAAGCACGGTGTGAATCTCACCAGCATTGTTGACATGGCTCCCACGGCCTTCACCGTGAAGCGATTATTCCACAGAACGAGTGCATTGAGACCTTGCTCTTGGGTCGAAAGTGCTTGGCACAGTATCGTCACACCTTGATCCTGCGTGCACATTGCGAAATACACACGCACACACACACACACACACACACACACACACACACACACACACACACACACACGTGTGCGCGCATACACACACACAGTTCAAGCCTCTACAATTCTACAGCCAAACAGAAACATTCCTACAGCTCCATTGCTACACTAAGGAGTCTGGGATCGTGACAGCAACCCAAGGAGCCAATTACCAACAACCACTGGATACGTAGTCTATTGAATACTTCCTCCGCGTCATTAAAATTGTCGCTTCCCAGTGCGATTTTTCAAATTTATTTTGTCCACTCGAAGGGCAAAGAAATCAGCTAGAAATTGAGGCAGAGTGCGGCATTGTCGACGGACCAAGCTTTAGTTTGTGGCCTCCCGCTTCGCTGCACTTGCAGCTAAGGACGACGTCTTCACCAGAGTTTGAGGCAGACCCTTCAGCACCAAACAATACCCTGAACAAGACTCGTTCAAATATTTCAGGTCAAGAAACTTCGTTTTCAAGCGATCTATGCCTCAAGGTGGCAGGCAAGGATGAAGGCAAGCACGGGCATTGTTTCAAGTTAGCATTGTGTGCAGAGCACACTGTAATGAACGCCCAGCAGCGGGATAGGGTAAGCAGTTCCGCACCTTGGGATAGGGTAAGCAGTTCCGCACCTTGGGATAGGGTAAGCAGTTCCGCACCTTGGGATAGGGTAAGCAGTTCCGCACCTTGGGATAGGGTAAGCAGTTCCGCACCTTGGGATAGGGTAAGCAGTTCCGCACCTTGGGATAGGGTAAGCAGTTCCGCACCTTGGGATAGGGTAAGCAGTTCCGCACCTTGGGATAGGGTAAGCAGTTCCGCACCTTGGGATAGGGTAAGCAGTTCCGCACCTTGGGATAGGGTAAGCAGTTCCGCACCTTGGGATAGGGTAAGCAGTTCCCCCGCACCTTGGGATAGGGTAAGCAGTTCCGCACCTTGGGATAGGGTAAGCAGTTCCGCACCTTGGGATAGGGTAAGCAGTTCCGCACCTTGGGATAGGGTAAGCAGTTCCGCACCTTGGGATAGGGTAAGCAGTTCCGCACCTTGGGATAGGGTAAGCAGTTCCCCCGCACCTTGGGATAGGGTAAGCAGTTCCGCACCTTGGGATAGGGTAAGCAGTTCCGCACCTTGGGATAGGGTAAGCAGTTCCAGCACCTTGGGATAGGGTAAGCAGTTCCGCACCTTGGGATAGGGTAAGCAGTTCCGCACCTTGGGATAGGGTAAGCAGTTCCGCACCTTGGGATAGGGTAAGCAGTTCCGCACCTTGGGATAGGGTAAGCAGTTCCGCACCTTGGGATAGGGTAAGCAGTTCCGCACCTTGGGATAGGGTAAGCAGTTCCGCACCTTGGGATAGGGTAAGCAGTTCCGCACCTTGGGATAGGGTAAGCAGTTCCGCACCTTGGGATAGGGTAAGCAGTTCCACACCTTGGGATAGGGTAAGCAGTTCCCCCGCACCTTGGGATAGGGTAAGCAGTTCCGCACCTTGGGATAGGGTAAGCAGTTCCGCACCTTGGGATAGGGTAAGCAGTTCCGCACCTTGGGATAGGGTAAGCAGTTCCGCACCTTGGGATAGGGTAAGCAGTTCCCCCGCACCTTGGGATAGGGTAAGCAGTTCCGCACCTTGGGATAGGGTAAGCAGTTCCGCACCTTGGGATAGGGTAAGCAGTTCCGCACCTTGGGATAGGGTAAGCAGTTCCGCACCTTGGGATAGGGTAAGCAGTTCCGCACCTTGGGATAGGGTAAGCAGTTCCGCACCTTGGGATAGGGTAAGCAGTTCCGCACCTTGGGATAGGGTAAGCAGTTCCGCACCTTGGGATAGGGTAAGCAGTTCCGCACCTTGGGATAGGGTAAGCAGTTCCGCACCTTGGGATAGGGTAAGCAGTTCCGCACCTTGGGATAGGGTAAGCAGTTCCCCCGCACCTTGGGATAGGGTAAGCAGTTCCGCACCTTGGGATAGGGTAAGCAGTTCCGCACCTTGGGATAGGGTAAGCAGTTCCGCACCTTGGGATAGGGTAAGCAGTTCCACACCTTGGGATAGGGTAAGCAGTTCCCCCGCACCTTGGGATAGGGTAAGCAGTTCCCCCGCACCTTGGGATAGGGTAAGCAGTTCCGCACCTTGGGATAGGGTAAGCAGTTCCGCACCTTGGGATAGGGTAAGCAGTTCCGCACCTTGGGATAGGGTAAGCAGTTCCGCACCTTGGGATAGGGTAAGCAGTTCCGCACCTTGGGATAGGGTAAGCAGTTCCGCACCTTGGGATAGGGTAAGCAGTTCCGCACCTTGGGATAGGGTAAGCAGTTCCGCACCTTGGGATAGGGTAAGCAGTTCCGCACCTTGGGATAGGGTAAGCAGTTCCGCACCTTGGGATAGGGTAAGCAGTTCCGCACCTTGGGATAGGGTAAGCAGTTCCGCACCTTGGGATAGGGTAAGCAGTTCCGCACCTTGGGATAGGGTAAGCAGTTCCGCACCTTGGGATAGGGTAAGCAGTTCCGCACCTTGGGATAGGGTAAGCAGTTCCGCACCTTGGGATAGGGTAAGCAGTTCCAGCACCTTGGGATAGGGTAAGCAGTTCCGCACCTTGGGATAGGGTAAGCAGTTCCGCACCTTGGGATAGGGTAAGCAGTTCCGCACCTTGGGATAGGGTAAGCAGTTCCGCACCTTGGGATAGGGTAAGCAGTTCCGCACCTTGGGATAGGGTAAGCAGTTCCGCACCTTGGGATAGGGTAAGCAGTTCCCCCGCACCTTGGGATAGGGTAAGCAGTTCCGCACCTTGGGATAGGGTAAGCAGTTCCGCACCTTGGGATAGGGTAAGCAGTTCCGCACCTTGGGATAGGGTAAGCAGTTCCACACCTTGGGATAGGGTAAGCAGTTCCCCCGCACCTTGGGATAGGGTAAGCAGTTCCCCCGCACCTTGGGATAGGGTAAGCAGTTCCGCACCTTGGGATAGGGTAAGCAGTTCCGCACCTTGGGATAGGGTAAGCAGTTCCGCACCTTGGGATAGGGTAAGCAGTTCCCCCGCACCTTGGGATAGGGTAAGCAGTTCCCCCGCACCTTGGGATAGGGTAAGCAGTTCCGCACCTTGGGATAGGGTAAGCAGTTCCGCACCTTGGGATAGGGTAAGCAGTTCCGCACCTTGGGATAGGGTAAGCAGTTCCGCACCTTGGGATAGGGTAAGCAGTTCCGCACCTTGGGATAGGGTAAGCAGTTCCGCACCTTGGGATAGGGTAAGCAGTTCCGCACCTTGGGATAGGGTAAGCAGTTCCGCACCTTGGGATAGGGTAAGCAGTTCCGCACCTTGGGATAGGGTAAGCAGTTCCGCACCTTGGGATAGGGTAAGCAGTTCCCCCGCACCTTGGGATAGGGTAAGCAGTTCCGCACCTTGGGATAGGGTAAGCAGTTCCGCACCTTGGGATAGGGTAAGCAGTTCCGCACCTTGGGATAGGGTAAGCAGTTCCACACCTTGGGATAGGGTAAGCAGTTCCCCGCACCTTGGGATAGGGTAAGCAGTTCCGCACCTTGGGATAGGGTAAGCAGTTCCGCACCTTGGGATAGGGTAAGCAGTTCCGCACCTTGGGATAGGGTAAGCAGTTCCGCACCTTGGGATAGGGTAAGCAGTTCCGCACCTTGGGATAGGGTAAGCAGTTCCGCACCTTGGGATAGGGTAAGCAGTTCCGCACCTTGGGATAGGGTAAGCAGTTCCGCACCTTGGGATAGGGTAAGCAGTTCCGCACCTTGGGATAGGGTAAGCAGTTCCGCACCTTGGGATAGGGTAAGCAGTTCCGCACCTTGGGATAGGGTAAGCAGTTCCGCACCTTGGGATAGGGTAAGCAGTTCCGCACCTTGGGATAGGGTAAGCAGTTCCGCACCTTGGGATAGGGTAAGCAGTTCCGCACCTTGGGATAGGGTAAGCAGTTCCCCGCACCTTGGGATAGGGTAAGCAGTTCCGCACCTTGGGATAGGGTAAGCAGTTCCGCACCTTGGGATAGGGTAAGCAGTTCCGCACCTTGGGATAGGGTAAGCAGTTCCCCGCACCTTGGGATAGGGTAAGCAGTTCCCCCGCACCTTGGGATAGGGTAAGCAGTTCCGCACCTTGGGATAGGGTAAGCAGTTCCGCACCTTGGGATAGGGTAAGCAGTTCCGCACCTTGGGATAGGGTAAGCAGTTCCGCACCTTGGGATAGGGTAAGCAGTTCCCCGCACCTTGGGATAGGGTAAGCAGTTCCGCACCTTGGGATAGGGTAAGCAGTTCCGCACCTTGGGATAGGGTAAGCAGTTCCGCACCTTGGGATAGGGTAAGCAGTTCCGCACCTTGGGATAGGGTAAGCAGTTCCGCACCTTGGGATAGGGTAAGCAGTTCCGCACCTTGGGATAGGGTAAGCAGTTCCGCACCTTGGGATAGGGTAAGCAGTTCCGCACCTTGGGATAGGGTAAGCAGTTCCGCACCTTGGGATAGGGTAAGCAGTTCCGCACCTTGGGATAGGGTAAGCAGTTCCGCACCTTGGGATAGGGTAAGCAGTTCCGCACCTTGGGATAGGGTAAGCAGTTCCGCACCTTGGGATAGGGTAAGCAGTTCCGCACCTTGGGATAGGGTAAGCAGTTCCGCACCTTGGGATAGGGTAAGCAGTTCCGCACCTTGGGATAGGGTAAGCAGTTCCGCACCTTGGGATAGGGTAAGCAGTTCCGCACCTTGGGATAGGGTAAGCAGTTCCCGCACCTTGGGATAGGGTAAGCAGTTCCGCACCTTGGGATAGGGTAAGCAGTTCCGCACCTTGGGATAGGGTAAGCAGTTCCGCACCTTGGGATAGGGTAAGCAGTTCCGCACCTTGGGATAGGGTAAGCAGTTCCGCACCTTGGGATAGGGTAAGCAGTTCCGCACCTTGGGATAGGGTAAGCAGTTCCGCACCTTGGGATAGGGTAAGCAGTTCCGCACCTTGGGATAGGGTAAGCAGTTCCCCGCACCTTGGGATAGGGTAAGCAGTTC